CCCCCTGCACCCCATCATCTGTCACTGACACCCCCCCTGCACCCCATCATCTGTCACTGCTTAACCCTCTCGCCCCCAGTGTACCATCACCTGCTTAACCTTCTCATCCATAGTGTACCCATCACACAGCTTAAGGACTCCTGTCACGAGATCTCCAACCCACCTCCAATATCCTTTCACGGATCATAGTCTCCTGTCACTGGATCTCCAGCCTCTCTTGCAGTATATGTGCCCCCCCTCACCCCCAATATACTCGGTCACTGAATCCCCAGGCCCACAATATGCACTCCTGTCACTAGATCCTCCTCTCAAATCCTCCATCTGCCCCCCCACCCCCTTCATACTCTATACATCTGCTGCTACATAATTCCTTTCAATAGAATACTATTCTCAAATTCACCACCTTCCTGTCACTGGGTATATTTTGCTTGTTGCTGGATCCATCATTTTTCCAGCGATTCTTCCTGTCAAATAGTCAGTCCTTTCGTGCTCCTTCTTAACCATCAAAATCATCATTTTACGTCTCCTGATCCTGTCGTAGTATTTAACCAATTCTATATCACTAGTTACTACTGTGTCTGAACCCCCAAATCCGTCATCTTCCGCTCACCATGCTAGCATGATACTATTTATCTATTCCAGTTACTGAACCTGCAAATCAGTCTCCACTCACAGCTTGTTTAACAAGTGCTATAAATCTTTATATTTGTTTATTTGTTTTCCAAATGCTCTGCTCTGCAGTTATGTAAAGCCCTGCACCTGCTTATATCACTGATACCCCCATTCTCCAAAACCCCAATCCACTCTCTTAATATATTAATTTCCAAGCACCCCTAAATCCACACCGAAGACCATGCCTTTTACACCTGCCCTGCTCCTGCCTTGATTTAACCAATCTCTATTCTATGTATCTTCCTATATATCTGAACACCTAAACCCATCATTTCACAGTTGCTTCTGTAATGCACTTATTTGTGACCCTAGATTATGGATCGACCAATATACGGTAATTTGTTTTTAGAGCCAATACTGATTATCGGTTGCCTTTTGTGCCGCTTGCTGATAACTGGTATTGATATTCTGTACATTTAAATTACATTGAATTAACATAATGTCAGCACAAATATGCTGTTACCTGAACATGATTAAAAGTTAACTTACGAGTAATGTGGCATGGCCTTACGTTTGACTACTGGGGTGATAAGATTACCTGTTTAGAAGGGGAGGGCTTCAGACAAGATATCTGCAGTTTATGCAAGCTGTGTTCGATATACCCCTAGTGAAACAAATATATCATTAAATGCATGCATGTTTTCATTTGGATTATATAGCGATTAAACTGTGATTATTATTTTTTTTTTAATTAAAAAATAAATCGTTGGGGGAGGGGGTGCTCATATCTCGCTGTCATTCAGAGTATGAAGGAAGACTTCCCGTCTAAGTTTACCAGATCTATCATTTTTGGTTGAACCCTAGCCCCGTTATTTCATTTTTGTGTGTATTCTGTTGCTCTCATGTTTTTAATGCCTGCAGCTGCCTCTGTCACTGGACCTGCAAGCCATCTTACTGTCACCATAGCCCTCTATAATACACTCCTGTCACTGGACCTGCAAGCCATCTTACTGTCACCATAGCCCTCTGTAATACACTCCTGTCACTGGACCTGCAAGCCATCTTACTGTCACCATAGCCCTCTGTAATACACTCCTGTCACTGGACCTGCAAGCCATCTTACTGTCACCATAGCCCTCTATAATACACTCCTGTCACTGGACCTGCAAGCCATCTTACTGTCACCATAGCCCTCTATAATACACTCCTGTCACTGGACCTGCAAGCCATCTTACTGTCACCATAGCCCTCTGTAATACACTCCTGTCACTGGACCTGCAAGCCATCTTACTGTCGCCATAGCCCTCTATAATATACTCCTGTCACTGGACCTGCAAGCCATCTTACTGTCGCCGTAGCCCTCTATAATACACTCCTGTCACTGGACCTGCAAGCCATCTTACTGTCACCATTGCCCTCTGTAATACACTCCTGTCACTGGATCTGCAAGCCATTTTACTGTCACCATAGCCCTCTTCTAATACACTCTACTGTCACTGGACCTGCAAGCCATCTTACTGCCGCCATAGCCCTCTATAAAACACTCCTGTCACTGGACCTGCAAACCATTTTACTGTCACCATAGCCCTCTATAATACACTCCTGTCACTGGACCTGCAGATTCCACGGTTGTATCATTGGATTTGCAATTCCCAGGCTTCTAGTCATTTGACTTCTCTCTCTCAGCTTCCTGTCACTGGATCCCTAAATTCATATTCTCCACGTTACTAAACACCCCATCCTCCTGTAACTGTAAACCCACCTCATCTACCACCCAGGTCATTGAATTTGTAAGTGCATGTTTGTTGAGTCTCCGGCTCCCCACCCCTCTTTGTCCTCTTTTTATGTGTAATGATGACCCATTCTCCTTTGTGGTTTTCACATTGCCAACCTCTCATTTAAACTACTTATCATTCTCACCTTGTGACTACAGACCGGCTCTCCGGCCAAACTATTAATCATTGATTCTGATTCCTCAAGTCCTTTATGTTAATTTGCCCTTAGAAATGCCATCTTGATATTCCTTCGCTGCAGGTAAGAGTCCATGATTTGCGTGCCTTGCCACCTGTCCGCAAAATAATACACCATAAGATTATCCTTTTCAGACCAACTAACCGTACACCATCCAATGATTTATTGCATCTTTCTCCTATGTAAATTACCTCTCTTGTCCCCGTGTCACAGTGTCTCCACCCTTGCTCTGCCCAAATATCCCTTTACCTACTTGCATTCTAAACATTACCCTCCACCTGTCAATGCTACATTCTTTCTTTCTTTACAATACTTCCTCCTCTTGACTTTGAATCCTCAGATTTCTATTTACTGTGCCCTCTCCTTGTCACACCCACTCAGGATTTCAGATTCCTGCTGAGAGCTGGCACTACGTAAGGGGCATTGGTGTTTCTGTGTCGTCAATTTGCCATGTACTAGCCTGGCACAAATCATATGCTGGTCTCGGCGCAAATCTTGTGCAGTCACAGTAGCCACACAAGATCTGTGTTCCTGTCTATAAATACAGCGATGACTGATATACAACACTACTGCGGGAGCCCTTGAATAAACAGAGCATTCCTTTCTGTTTGTAAATGGAGGGGTGTGTGTAAAACAGGAGGTGGTGAATGGTTTGCTGATTTAAACAGGTTTCATTTGGTTCCAAGGGTGGGAATTGAGAGGCGCATGCACTATAATTGACAAAGAGAACTATTTATAGAGCTGGGAATAATTATCTGTTGGAGATGAAAGATGTTTTCTGATGTTGATGCTGGTCCTGTTTGTGTGTGTTTAAAAGATGACAAGAGGCACCTTCTAACAAGCTGTATGGACATATAAAGAAATTGAGGGCTGTGGAGGTGTGTGGGGGGGGGGGAGAATTTTTATGGGCAGGACAGCTTACAGTGAGACATAGCCCAGTGACTGCTGCGTGAACAGGAAACTGGCAAAAGATACAGTAACGCTTACAGCCAGAGAGTACTTTAGAGAGGGTGGGATAAACCGACGTAGAGATAATTGCTTGTCTGGGGAAGCGGTTTCTGTTCTCGGAGGGATTTACGCAGCAGCAGGAGATCAGTGTATTAGGAGGGATATGGTGAGATGCAGCATCAGACGACTCTACCAGAAATAACAGCAGAATAAGATGGCTTGGTACAGCTATCGCTTTGTGTTTCTCCAAGGAAAAGATACCAGGCAAGATGTGTTTTCCAGTAGGGGTGACTGGTTGTACTTGTGGAGAGAAGAATGAGGCAGTTGTTTGTGCACCGGAAGAGAAGTTAGATCAGGCAGTTGGTGTGCACTGGAACAGAAGGTCAGTCAAGGACTGTTGGATGTGCACGGAAAGATAATATAAATTGAATCGGTTGGATGTGCACAGGAAGAGAAGATGGCTGGGGGGCAGTTGAATGTGCACAGGAAGAAAAAATGGATAGGGGGCAGTTAAATGTACACAGAAAGAGAAGGTGGCTTGGGGGGCAGTTGGATGTGCACGGGAAGAAAGCATGGCTGGGGGGCAGTTGCATGTGCACAGGAAGAGAAGATGACTGGGCGGCAGTTGGATGTGCACAGGATGAGAAGATGGCTGGAGGGCAGTTGGATGTGCACAGGATGAGAAGATGGCTGGAGGGCAGTTGGATGTGCACAGGATGAGAAGATGGCTGGAGGGCAGTTGGATGTGCACAGGATGAGAAGATGGCTGGAGGGCAGTTGGATGTGCACGGGAAGAGAAGATGGCTGGGAGCAGTTGGATGTGCACAGGAAGGATAGATGGGGAAGGAGTGGGTGTGTGTGTGTCTGTGTAGAGATGGGACAGTAGATTGTATATGGGCAAGATGGATCCATTAGGTTTATGGTCTCTGGATGATAAGTGCTATAATTGGTATTAGTGGAGAGAAAGTAAGGAGTGTGTTGTTGTTTTTTTTTTTTTGTTTGTTTGTTTGTTTTTTGCTGAAAAGGGGAACATTTGTATGTGAAGGATAGCTGAAGGGCACTAGGATGTGGTTTGTAAGATGTTGCTAGTTCCTGCTTGGGAAGGTAATGTGTGAATGGCTGTTGGGAAGGGAAGATGGTGCTGTTGGGAACACTCAATATGGCGAGAGCAGTTTATTTTTTTGGGAGAGAAGATGGATATGTCTTATTGCTACATTCCAATATATGTGTTGTGTTTTGCTTTTTCTTGTTGTGTTTTTTTTTTAAATTTTGTTTATTTCTTTTAGGTTTTTATTCCGATTTGGGAAGTCTAATATGCCAAAAATGGGTGAATAATTTATAAGGATCTGTGAAATGACAAAATAGGAAGTCAGGATCATGGGACAGAAGAAGAAGCCATGTCCCCGCTTGCTGGATTACCTTGTAATCGTTGGTGCCAGGTACGTCCCTTATTGTGTACATGCTAATATTGAACCCTAAATAGTGGCCGTTATTATTAATTGTTAATGCTCTGCACCTTTCCTCTGCATTGTTCCATTTCCTGTGCTGATTCCTTTTGTTGTGTCCTTACACCTGTCTGTCATCACACTTTAGCTGTGAGTTTACAATTGATTTGCAAAAAATTAGGCCAAAATGTCTTCATTGTAAATCCTTTGCTCCTCTCCCATTATTTATTCCTGTCATGGATCCATAGCCCCAATGTATTCCCATGTCGCTGGGTTTGATACTTCTTTTCATTTCTGCTGTTTTAGTCTACAGTTTGCTGTTCAGTTTTTCCACAATAGCTGAATAAACTTCAACTGTATATATCTAACCAGGCTGCAAATCTATTGTGTCCTCTTCTTCACATGTGCTGAACCATGCCTCCTGGCTTGGTTCCATGCAGCGCATGGCGATCAATGCCTCCTGGCTTGGTTCCATGCAGCGCATGGCGATCGATGCCTCCTGGCTTGGTTCCATGCAGCGCATGGCGATCGATGCCTCCTGGCTTGGTTCCATGCAGCGCATGGCGATCGATGCCTCCTGGCTTGGTTCCATGCAGCGCATGGCGATCCATGCCTCCTGGCTTGGTTCCATGCAGCGCATGGCGATCCATGCCTCCTGGCTTGGTTCCATGCAGCGCATGGCGATCCATGCCTCCTGGCTTGGTTCCATGCAGCGCATGGCGATCCATGCCTCCTGGCTTGGTTCCATGCAGCGCATGGCGATCCATGCCTCCTGGGTTGGTTCCATGCCTTTGGATTTCTTCTCACATCTCATACTTTTCATAACACTTCTCACTGTACTCACCGCGTCTTAATCTTTAAGCCCTTGCGAATTTGATCAGTCTAGAAGTTTCATTTTTAAGTCTGTATGTATTTAAAAAATAATAATAATATTACTCGCATATAACAGTTTTTATTAGAGGAGACCTCCTCTTGATTTATCTTAATTTCCTTTTCTTTACTGTTGATCTCCTTTGAGGAGTTGTTGTTGTTGCATTTAGTGGCAGGTTAGCCATAACCAATATTCTCTCTCTAATCTCTGCCAGACAACCAAGCAGTGACAGTGTTGCTCAGACCCCAGAGCTTCTTCGGCGTTACCCACTTGAAGACTACCCTGAATTTCCTCTGCCCCCTGATGTGGTATTTTTCTGTCAACCAGAAGGATGCCTGAGTGTTCGGCAGAAACGTATGAGCCTAAGGGATGACACCTCGTTTGTCTTCACACTTACTGATAAAGACAGTGGAGTCGTCCGCTATGGAATCTGTGTTAATTTCTACCGCTCCTTCCAGAAACGTATCCCAAAGGACAAAAGCAGAAAGCCACCCAAACCAGCACCAGAAAATGTGTGTGAGGGCAGTGATGGAGGACATTCCTTGCAGACTGTAAGTGCAGAATCCACCCCTGATGTCAACCATTCCCCTCGTGGGACACGTCTGTCTAAAGGAGTCCAACGATCTCGGAACAGCACCCTAACTTCACTTTGTATTATCAGTCATTATCCATTCTTCTCCACCTTCCGGGAGTGCTTACACACAATCAAACGGCTGGTGGACTGCTGCAGTGACAGGATGGTCAGCAAGAAGGCTGGGATCGCAAAAGGTGTACAGAGGTAACATGCACCTTTAATTTATTCATTACTAATAGTATATTTCAGAACAGAAATAGTTATTTTCTTTCTTTTTTTTTCTCCATAGTATTTCTATGTGATTTGTAGTTTACTTGTGGAAGACCTTGTCGGCTTCAGGTGACTCACAATGTCTAGTGCACACTTAACGTTGTGGGACGTGACGTGAAAGATTGCACACTGGTAGTTAATGTTCAATGGGTTCAAAGACAGGTGTTCGCTTAAAGGGATACTTCAAGTTCAACTTCCACTCACCCTTAACGTGACCAAAAGTGGAGGTTTTCAGCCCTGCATACTCCATGGGTTAAAATAGACACAGGGCTAGATTTTGATGAGGTACTTTTGGGGGAAAGGTCGTAGGAGGAAATGTCGGCACCCTCGCCCCCCCTGAAAAATGGAACATGAATGCAGTATAATCTGCTTTAACAAAAGGTAGCTGGTATGTTGAGGTAAGATTTCTCTGTTTTGACTGGTTACTTAGAATATCATTCTGCATATGGTGGAGTGCACAATGTATCTTGTCTCCCTTCCTTCCATTGAATCTAGCAAAGCTTCAAACAACCACAATGGCATATTTTGACAGCAGAAAATTTAAATTTTTAAATGGAAAGAATAAAGTGTCGGATTGACAGCTTAGAGCAGTTAATGCTAACCGTAGCACCCCAGAGATGTCAGACACTTTTTTTTGTCCAGAATCCTTTGTTTTATTGTTTTATTATCTTAAACTATATGTGCCGCACTCTCAGAAATTGCCATTATGTTGGCCTGAAATGTACCAGTTTAGAGGGTGACGGTGAATTTGGAGGAATAGACTGTAGCCCCGTGCCTAGCTGTTGATTAACTACAACTTGCATGATGTTTTGTCCGCTATAAAGCTAAAAATTGGTTACTGCTGTGATCTACCTTTTGGCAAGCCCAGGTAGAGTTAAAGGCTTATTTGGTTGGCATATACTTTTCTCTAAAAGTGCTGCTGTTCTTTCGGTGTGACACACATCTGTTTTAACGGTTTACCCCAAGTAATATGACCATTTCACTGATATGAAGTAGACATGTTGCTGCTTGGAGTCTGTATGTGCGGTGTTTTTGATGCCAGGAATGTAACATCATTAGCCAGCCAGTGGTGAGCGTTCCAGGCTGCGTAAAGTTAAATCTTGTGCATACTTGGTGTCGGTCGTCAGCAAGAACAGAATGCTGGCGACAAACGACCAATGGCAGCATGACAACTTTTCTTTCTGTTGGGAAGAGGGGGACACTTGACCAAGCCCTTTTGAGATCAAACAAAGCTGCAGTAATTTTATCTATTTTTCCACTTTTAGAGAATCCTAATAAAAAAAAAATAAAAAAAAAAAATACTAATCTGTAATGTCTTTGTCAATCCCTTTATTTTTATTTTTTTTTTCAATGTGGAGGCATTGAAAAAACACATTACACAGTACAGGAAGTATAACAAACCGGCAAATGCGTACTACCAAAGCTTATCCATGGTCTAAACATGAGAATTATAAAATAAATAATCTCACACCTAAGTGTGCCTTTTTTTTTTTTTTTTTCAAACCTGCAGAATTTTATAGCATTCAAGCTAGGCATACTTGTCCAAACATTAACGATTTTCAGCAGATTAATAATGCCAGTACTTGTGTTGTCAGACAGTTAAAGACAACTGGATCCTAGTACACAGTCATCTTACCACACCATCAAAACAAATTAGAGAATAGGGGAGATCACATCAAATAAAAACAAAAAGATGTAGAATGGCATCTATTAACAGCAGTGGTGCTTAGACATTAGGCTGGAAGGCCGCACTTGGTAGAGGAACTTTCATTAGCCAATTCCTAAGCTTGGGAAGCGTAGGTTACATGCCGGGTGATCGGTGGCAGTGAAACTGGAGTGAGGTAAGGCCTCCAGCCCCAGGCCTATGTGAAGGCCAGCTTCTGTGAGCCACTGGCTTGGGGGATCTTTGAGTCCAAGTCTTTCCCAGCCAGGAAATAGCAGATGGTTGTTATCACCATCCTCCGCCTGTGTGGGCAATGCAATGGGGCCGAGCCTCGAATGGCCTTCAGCCTAGGAGGGCAATGGAGATAAGATTTGTTACTTGTGGGAGTATAATGCCAGAGGGAGGCCCAATCTCCACCAGCTTCACGTTCCTCCGATCTGCAACCTGAGGCCAAAATCTTGATGTTACTGCTGGCTCCTCCATCAAAGCTTTGCTCACAGATTAGGCAGGAGTGGCTGTCTGAGGGTGGATGTGCTTCGGATCTTCACAATGGGGACCGGGGTCACCCCCACCGCCCCATAGAGGGGGGTGGGGGGTACGGGGCAATACAGGTCCACTGCAAGGGCCTCTCCTGCTTGACGCTTCCACTAGGCCTCACTGAAGTCTGCAAGAGACTCGATGGCTGGCACTGTCTGGTACTGGTCCGGAGCATGCTGTTAGGGTCTGAGAGTAGGTCGCCAATCGTATCGAGAGTGTTGTGTGTCAATTGGCTTGCTGCAAACAAGGCTTAGTAAGGAGCTCTCTCAAGAGGTGTCTGGCTGCTATGAGGCCCAGTCCCCCTGTAATGTCTCTTAATACGTATTGTTCATAAACAGGGCTTATGAAAATTTTTAATTGGACCGAAAATGTCACACTTTATGGTTGTTGTTTTTTTTTGTTTGTTTGTTTTGTTTTTTTAAATAAAAATATACTTGAATTTTTATTTTTATAGATTTGTGAAAAATGTATAAATTGCATGGTTGCTCATTATGTGAATGTGATTCTGTTTAACCCCTTAAGGACACATGACATGTGTGACATGTCATGATTCCCTTTTATTCCAGAAGTTTGGTCCTTAAGGTCTTCAAATATTTAACCATAAAGCAATATTTTGATTGGATTTTATGTTTTCAGCCACTATCTGTTACCCAAAAATGCACTGGTGACAATAAATTAATGGGAGCAGTTAGAGTAAAAATAAACATATTAAATTATTCAAACTTTGAGATTTATAACGAAAACACCACTTTTGAATCTTAAAAGCCAAATTACAAAGTCTCGGCAAAGGTAACCAAACTGTGGAGAAAATAAATCCCTTACAATTGAATTGTGGTCACTGGTATAAACTGCAGTTTAACTGAAACATAATTTGTTTAAACCCCTTTGTTACAGAGTCACTCACATGTGACCGAGCCAGTTTTCTAGATTCTGAGCTTTTTTTCTCATTGCTTTCCACTGCTTCTAAATGCATCAAGTGATCTGGCACACTGGAATTATTGGTGGTACATGAACTGTCTGTAGTTAACAAGAATTAAGTTGTAACGGAATGTGTTTGCACACTTGCCTAATCTTTGGTTGCTTCCTCTATGTCCTAAGGCATTGAGTTCCGTATCTCCATTTCCCAATAGTAAACTTGAAAATGACAAAAATGTACAGGGACTATCTAAGCACCATGGCGATTTATGGTTTATAGCCATCGTTGTATGCAAGCGTCTGGGCTCAGCTCCCCTTCCCTTTTTGTAAATTATTTTTTCAGTGGTTTGACAATAAATTAGGGCATAACATGCTCCCAAAGTTCAACAACTTTGCAGCCATTGAGATAAGGAGGAATTTCACTAGCTCGATTACCCATGGAAAGCCATTCAGACTTGGATGGCAGTATTGGTCTGAAAGCGCTGTGGGTGTGGTTAGACCAGCACTTAATATGATTTCTAAGAAAAACAATAAATTAAGTTAACACTTTTTAGTCATTTTTGGGGGGATTTCGGGTTATCCACTTTTGTAGCCGAGGTGCTTTTAATAAAGTGTATTCGGTTATATATATGTTTCTATATTCCTTTTTAATGGCTACATGTAAGAAAAAAAATACAATCCTTAGAAGTTTAAAGGAGCACTATAGAAATACATACCTGTGTTCCCAGTACTATAGTGCCGCTGTCCTTGGCTGTATTAATACACCCCCTCCCACCTCCAAAACTGTTTATCCTAAAAATTAATAAAATGATTTGCTTACATTTTTCCAGTACCAAGGCACACTCTGCGGCGATTATCTTTCCACCTTCTGCAATGTCATGGGGGAGGCATGGCCTCCTTTGTGATGACCAAATCCATTGCTTCCCATAGAGGAGCATTGTGGACATAATGTGCATGTGCAATCAACGCTTGTCGTACATTCAAGCTTGCCTATAGGGAAGCATTGTATTTAATGCTTGTATGTGGATTTCGCATCATGTGACCATATCAGTGCAGCAGAAGCGCCTCTAATGGCTGTCTGGTTGACTGCCATTAGAGGTGGATTTAACCATGGAATGTATTCATTGCAGCTTCTACGTTACAGGGTTAAAAGGACAGGAACACTGGACACAGGCCGTTTCATTGAGATCAACTGGTCTAGGTGACTGGTGTCCCTTTTTAGTTTAAGATTTTTAATGGACATTGTTTTAAACTGTACATTAACCTTAGAACTAAATGGTCTTTAGCGCCCAAAACATACAATTTGTTGTTTTTTTTTGTTTTTGTGAGATAGTGTTGCATGTTTGAGAAGTTAAGCTAACCTGGTTCTAAAATAAGCTGGCAGGATTCTTTACAATGTTAAAAGTGAAATCTCAGATCATGGATATCTGCAGTTAGCTCTGCGGTTAATGCTGTGATTGCTTTGTAGAGAGTTTCAGTTGTCTGCACGTTCAGATCAGACGTTCAATACCTGCTGAAATCCCAGTTACCATTGAATCGGGAAATAATTGTACCTAGAACCCAAGATGTACCTCTCTTTTAAAAGTAGGAAAAGCTCAATCTACTATTCCCATCTATATCCTTACCACAAGCAGTTATTAGGCCTGGGGTAGCGAAGGGGCCTCAACATACGTTTGGATTGTATTTTCCCTTCTATCCTCGAATCACAATAGTATTCTAGTTTGGACACAAACTTATTGGGGAAAAATGCAATATGAAGTTGATTTGTTAACACCGTAAAGAGTCCGTCAAGGGTTTCTGTTTAAGTGCCTCCATACTTAATATATAATAATATCATCATTATTTGGGTTGTTTTTTATATATAATTTTTTTTTTTTTTTTTTTTTTAAAATGACCAAAAGGGCTTTTTAAAAACAATATATAATATTAAAAGAAGCCCTTTTCTTTTGCTTATCTCCTTGGTAAATCAAGTAGAGTGCCATCTACGGGCTGTTGTCAGCATGGCAGGGAGATATCCCTCTTATGGTGAAATGCCAGCATACTTTACAGGCTGATTACATCGTGATCATTAATGGGCAGCAGGCACAGCCCAACAGCGATCACAATCTGCATGGACCCGTGTAGATGGACTCTATCATGATTTGTTCAGAATCTGGGTGTCTACTTTGAGCAACTGCAAACTTGGAATCCCTGCAGCTGAGCGCGATATATATATAAAACAGTACTTGGTGTATGAGTTGCCCAGATTGGATGCCCTTCCAGGCAGCCAGTGACCCTGGCACACATGCCAGGAGGGCATTCCCATTTATGGGCGGATACATTTCTATTGCTGCTAAGTGCATCATGCGCATGCCCTCCTCTCAGCCATGGTTCACTTCCATCTCCCAATCACTCTGCATTCTACTTCTATGCATTTTATTCAGGAATCCTGTAGATGGGGCCCATCCTGATTTATGTTCCCTAATGCCAATTAAATGACTTCTGCACTTCTAGGACCGGGAGCCATAAGCTTCTAAATGCCTGGAGCTGCATCCTCCTTTTATTCCATTAATTTCATATTGAGCCAGAGCGTGGGTGGTTTATTAAACGTTGAACTTCATCAATTGTGTATGAGTGGAACATCGGCGCTGAGCCTCATTGTATTGATAGAGATTTCGTGCGTTTTATCTTATACAAAGCTGCATCTGTTGACACACACACAGCCTCGGAGCATTGTTTGTCTGTTTGACATACTTATATTGCCATGGAGCTCTCTGGCTCTTCAATAGATAACTGTTGGCGTCTTATGTTTTGAGTATTTTTATATTGAATTTAATGTATTATTCTCTTAGGTGTGCTAACTTCTAGATGTATTCTTTCCCTAGTGAGCAAGGGTCCGTATTCTAACTGTAAAAAAGATGAGATTATTTGGGATTTGAGGCCTGCAAGCTCTGACCCCATAACACACTGTAATTTTTTTTATTTTTATAAAGAGAGATTGGGCATTTCATATTTACCTTTTCATAGTTCTCTAGTATTTGCAACAAGAAATTAAGTTTATTTTTATTTTATATAAAAAGCAATATTTTTAAAAAGTAAATCTGACTGCAATCTATAGTTCTTTATCACCCAAATCATGATTGACTGCGAGTTGATATTGGCAACGGACTTGTAAGCCACAATGGGAAAGAATATCCACTTCTGCTGGATATAAACATATATATTTTTCCTCAGGGCACCATTACAACTTAATCGTAATTAAATTATTATGGCACCATTAGGTCCTAGGCACTGGCTTACCTTTAGGGGTTGAGCCTTTCATGGACTGTTTAACCCTAATATCTTGAATCCAGCGGGGTTTAGTGTAGCAGACTCCATTCCCTTATGTTCAGTTGTCCGTACCCCCTGGTTCGTCTCCCGAAAGGTGTGTGTGTCCCCTTGTTATGCCCCAGTAAACACCGACCTACCCTGGCTGTTAATCACAAATTAACGACTTAACACCTTCGTTTGAGTGCTTTCCCTGGATGGCTGCCATTTGCATAACCGAACGCACATAGTCCAGTACATGGCGGCTATTTCGTCTCCCGAGCACAGGCAGCCGTACTTGGTCATCAAACGCATGGAACTGTTTTTGGCCTCGCGAACCGGCACAAAGATGGTACAGCTGACCACCTAGATGAATGGCATTCGGGGAGATAGGATCTACCGAACAGGGGGAGCATTCACTCCATAGCAGCCAGGGTGAGCATTGGTCGGTGTTCGCACAGGAATCCCGAAAGGTCGGTCAAAACTGTGTTCGATGATAACTTTCATTCTACCGAACCAATCTTGGCACTTTTGGGATATGTTATGCGCTCAGATCGGGGCTTTTTGGGGGGGTTTCTGTACTATTTTCATGTATTTTGGGGGTATATTAAAATATCTGCCAGTTTCTGTATTTAAGAGATAATTCAGTTATACTAATTGGAGCTAAATTATCTCGCAAAGACAGAGGCTCTTGTAAAATAAAACTTTGTCTTCTTGACTTGGTGCTAGGCGCAATGCATAAAAGCTGTGTGTCGTCCAGTTGCTGGGAAGGAGGTGGGGTATTTACTTGGTATTTTCTTGTTCCTGATTCTACTCTTGGAGATCCAGTGGAGGAAAGTCCCTGCGAGGACAAGGGCTCTGCTACGTTTAGCTCTTCCCCCTGCCATTCCGCTTCTCTCAGATTCTTGAAATAAGAAACCTTGGAAACGGGCGACTTTGATTGCGTAAGAGCTTCAGGTGACGTTATAAGCCAACCAGTAGCTCCCCATTCATAAAAACAGCTTGAGAAAAATGTGTTTAAAGGCGAGGTTTGCTGTGTAAATAATTTGGGAGCATAAGGGCAGTGTTAAATCAAGGTTCAACCTCTAAAGGTAGTCCATGGACCTCCTGACACCATAACAACTTTATTGCAGTGAAGTTATGGTGTCCGAAGTGTTCTTTTAAGCCTTGAGTGCTGATGTCACAGTTACAGGAGTAAATCTCCCAGGGCTACAAATTCACTCACCAATGGCTAGTGATGAGTGGAAATTTTGAGCCGTGTGTATTTCTACATATAATTTTTTTGGTGCAAGTCTTTTGTCAGTTACTGTAAAAGCTCTGGTGAATAAATAGACCTTACGTGTTTTCCTTCTGTGCTGTTAAAAGTACACTCCAGACCCTTAAAGGAACACCATAGGGTCAGAAACACGAACCTGTATGCCTGACCCTATAGTGTTTAACCCACCATTTAGGTGGCTTGCCGCCCCTCCCCCCCCCCCTTAGTCTCCTTAAAAGCAATTAAAACTCCCCTTATTTCCAGCTCCGCGTGGGTTTGCTGGCACTGGTCCCACCCCTTGGTGACCTCATCAGAACTGCAGATTTTTAGCCAATCCAATGCTTTCCCGATTTGCTGAAATCAGGAAGGGGGCGGGCCAAACGCCATTTTGGCCAATCAGCACCTCTTCATAGAGATGTTTTGAATCAATGCATGTCTATAAGGAAAATTCAGCGTCCCCATGCAGAGCGTGGAGATACTGAACGGCAGTGTTGCCTACTCTGCAGCACTGAGCCAGGAGGCACCTCCAGTGGCCATCTGAGGAGTGGCCACTTGGAGGTGTCCCTAGGGCCAATGTAAACACTGCCTTTTCTCTGAAAAGGCATTGTTTTGCATGAAAATGCCTGAAGGCAATGATTAAATTCACCATAACAACTACATTAAGCTGTAGTTTTACTGGTGATTATAGTGTCCCTTTAAAGCTCTTTAGGTTGCTCAAAAGCGTTGTGTGAAGAGTGTGTCCTTTTTAGTTTTATTCTTTTCATTTTACAAAAAAAGTGGATTTCAATAGAAATTGGCACTTTTTTCTATTTTAATTTTTTATAAATTAACCTTGTTACACCCCTTTGGCTGTCATTTAGACAACAGGTCCTGCTACTTCCTGGTTTGTTTAGCTCAGTGCAGTTGAACTCTAGAGGCAACAATTTCTCAGAGCACATGACTCACAAAAACCTCTCATTGAGCTGCATTAGGAAGTCTGTGATTGGACAGCCACAGAAATTCTGGGCAGGGCTAGAAAGGGAGGGCTTTCAAAGGCAGCAGACAAGAGAACTACACTTTTTGCAAGTTGTATTTGGTAATACCTCAGTGAAGCTATGCGTGCATGTTTCCCTTGGGGTAAATCTACTAAATTAGTGATTTATTTATTTTTTGTATTTGGCCAGTGGAGTGTCCCTTTAAGCCTGGTTTCTTTAGTTCTTTCTATTTCTGTGCTATGACTTAGCTGATGTAACTGGTCTTCTGGACATGGTTTGCTGACTGCTGTCTGGGGAAATAGAACTTAAAAGATGATTCATTGTGTCTTATTGTAAAATCTTCTAGCCACCTGCTGGTGCTCAGGGAAGATGCCATGTCTTGCTGAGATTGACCTTTTACAGCTTTTTATACTCTGTTCTATTTCCCGTGCAACTATTCCTCCACCCAATGCTGTTAGGATATGTTAAGTTGTTTTACTGGAGAACAACCATCATTTAAATATATTGCATGGTTATTATGGGCATGAATTGGGGACCGTTCAGAGTTTATAAGGTGTATATGTATTTGGGATTAAATCAAGCTGCTATGTCTGTCAGTTACCCTGGCCAATGGCAACTTTTTATTTACGGCCACATTTTTAGACAGCCAGCAGTTTCCATTCTTGGATATTTAAAGTTTCATTGGCGTCTCTTTTTGATAGAGAGTAATAGGAGCCATTTCAATGTAACAGGTGATATACCCTCCACCGCCCCCTCTTGCATAAAGCCATTTTTATCCATCTTAGTGACATGGTCTGCTCGGCACAGACACTTTTTTTTCCTCCGCTTCTTGTATTCTCCTTGTGGATGTTCTCTGGTCCAGTCCAATGCTTGTCACGGAGCGGCACTGGGGGCAGACTGGGCATGTGTGACAACTGCTACTCACAGAGAAACATTGAATCCAATTCTTATGTCAGAAGGATTCACAGCATTGGTGATGTCCTGCATTGAAGTGAATGGAGCTGAATGTGAAGTCTTTACGTTTTGTATTTAAAGTATCTCTAGTGCTTTTCACTCGGAACACTGCGTACTCTCAATACATCTTGGTTATAAAATCCAAGGCTTTCCGTGGTACCCATAGCTTGCCTCCTCTGCAGAAACAGAACTTGATAAAAATAGAGGCTGTTGGAGTGTGTGTGTGTGTGTGTTTTTATGTTATTTGAATTGTGATCAAGCAATATTCTATCTCATCCAGTCCTGTTATGGGCCTGTAAGGTGAGTGTCAGTGCAGTCCGGTAAGGAGCCTGTTCTGTTGGAGATCTTCAATGTGATCTATCTCCTAACGCAAACTGATAAAATGCCTTTATGTGTGCTGTTGCTTGAGCAGACCTCTTAGTAAATCACTGCTACACCCCCTGATAACAGTCCTGATTGGGTGCAACATTCCAACAAAACATCTGCTGTATATTTGTTTTGGTCTCCAGCTGTCCTGTATGTGTATAATTGGCATTCTCATAGGTCAATCCGATAAATAATGTTTTCATAACCTCTGTTATCTTCAATCCAAACATTGGAGATTTATAGTTCATAAGATTTAAACTCACATCACCACTTTTAATTATTAGCATGTCATTTCCCTTTTTCTGACGTAAACCGTAGTTAAATATTGGGAGTGAATTCTCGATGTCGTCCAGTAGTTTTCATCCGGAGATTCTGGGTGAACCTATTTCCCCACCCCATAGCAGGGAGTAGGATTAATGTTCTGATGACGTACAGTGGGATTTCAATTGAATTTGCCCTTTGTTTTGTGTCTGGTATTCCAAGCCCGGATTATGAAACCGGCCTCTCTAGCAGACTGACTTTAGCTTATCTTAAGCTTTTTTGTGGCTTTGTATGATACTGTGCAGTGTATACGAACTTACTTGGACATTAAATGGGCAGTGTAATTACCATGGCTACTTCAAGGCTTTGGCGCTGTTAGACTGCGTGCACCATCCCTCAGTTCTGGGTCAAGCTGTTAAACTTGTATTAATCAATATCATAACTACTTGTAGTGGTTACAAATTTTAGACTTCCCCTTTAACACCCTGCATAATGTTGGGGGTGGGTGGGAGAGGCATTTTAATTAAACTGAGATAAAAACCAAAGGCTCAAATATTTTCCATATTTGAATGGTTTATTGCCAAAGAGATTTAAATGGTGTCAACATGTGGTGCAGCACTGTACAGTAGAAATATTAAAAAATAAATGAAAATCGAACAAGTTAAAATGCATTGAATTACTAGAATGTGTTTACAATCTCAAGGACTCGAGACTGAATCTGTTGTTTTGTACGATGCTTTGCATAGAAAGAGCAATTAAATGCAGACAGCATCCACTGTCATCAGGTACCCCGGGGGTGGTGAGCGCTGTGTGTCCTACTTCTTCCAACAGGATGTACTCCTGTCACAGCTGTACTGTAACAATTAAAAGGAAAGGTATCTGACAATAAGACGTCCTTGAGGCTGTTTGTTGCTTTCACTAAAGTGAACTCATCCATAATATTGAATATCTTTTATAGAGCTATTTAGGAATGCAGACTATGTCTTCCGAAGTCTCTGGACGTTAGTCATCTGGGTGGCATGTTGTACTTTTCTCTGCTGAACCTGTAGCCGTCTAGCGGCATTCTTCGGTTGGTAGAGAATTGTGGGAGCTGTAGTCTGGAACTACCTGAAGGATCATAGTTTGGTTCTAATAACGTCACCTGAATTTTGGGGAATTTGAACAGGGGTGTTAACTAAACATTGAATATTAGCCAATTTAAATCTGGCTGACAAAACTGAGGCACAAATAGCCAAGCTGTGACTATGGAAAAGCTGGTTAATTTTTCCACATTGGCTATATAAAATTAATTTTTTTTCCAGTTTTTTATTTTTTTTAATTCATTTTTGTTGTGCATTGCGACAATCATAGATGCTGACAAATTGACAGGATATTCGGCAGTAGCATAATAATAAGGTAATACGTGCGCAGAAAGCCAACATCCATTATGAAAGCGTAAACGTTTCCAGCTGATTAGGCTGCACATTTTAAATAATGATAGGAAAATTTCTCCTATATGGTATATAGAGTTAATACTTTTAAATTGAAATTTCAAGGAATTAAAAGACTGTGAATGGGGTCAACATGGCACACACTGTAATGAATCGAGGAAGGAGAGAATGTTTTTTTTTTTTTTTTTTACCACTTGAGAAAGCCCTGAGGAGAGAAATGCGTTGTGGAAATTTTAACAATCTATTTTAATAAAGGTATTTTGTCCACTTTCTTTGTTGTGAGTTAGCCATTTTATCATTTTTATTATTTTACTACCTGGCATCTGAGTTTTACTTGTTCCAGAGAGATACTACTCCAAAGCATCATTGGTGGTGATTATACCACTAACGCCCTATCATTGAGCCGTGCGTCTGCCCAATTAAATGTGAGTAACCATTTGGTATTTTTATACACTCTCCTGGTTTTATCACAGTGAGCACTATTGTTTGTTTTTTATATTACTTATGGTACCCATCTGACAAGATATCTACTTAAAATACTCCCTCACGTGTCCCATAAGTGGGGATTATACCACTGTACGCTGTTTATACTAGAGCTAGTTTTTAGCTCTTAAAAATGTGAGTAGGACCATATAGACCTTTTTTATTGGTTTCTACCTATTTGGGTTTTATTGCACTATTAGATTTTCTTTTCACTTTCATACGGATCCCACGAACCCCTTGATCCCACTACTCAATAGACGTCTACCTCAGATAGAACTGGGATTGTTCTGTCATCCAAAGGTTTTACTGGACTCTTTTTGGACTGAGTGTTTTTATATATATATATATATATATATATATTATATATTTTACTTAAGGCACACCCCTTACCTTGCTCCTTACCGTTCGAGGTCAGCATTGAATGAGGATCCACTTCTGAGTTCTCTCAGACGCCATCTTGGTTTTCAGTATCCACAAGGTTTTTCCGCGGCAAGCTGTGTCCAGGAATCCTGTTTCAGCCCTTTTCCGTCCGTCCAGCTTCTTCTGACCCCGGTCATCGTCGTAGATCGCGTCCCAGGGACTCCTAGACCGTAAGTTAGACCTACCTGTCACGCCAGGATCGGTTCCCACGGCGTACGGTACAGCACAGGTCCTCGCTTTACGGTTTTTTTCCTGTTATGTCACAAATTGAACAAGCCGTTCGCGGTTTTCATTTCGTACAGTCATTCGGCTAATCAGTATATTAGTTAAAGTGGTCATTTCGCATATAACTATTCCGTGTTACAGTGAAACAAGCTATCATTTCGTTTTTTTTGCCGTTCGGCACTTTTTCATGATACGCTTAAACACGCTTGCTGTTCGCATAAAATTCATGCGTTTAAACTATTCGTTCCAGCTTCTGTTTTCCCTCACATTGGGTTTCAGTTTTATGTCTATGTATTACGCATAAATCCTTTCGTGGACTACATTCACCATTTCATGTATATACCATTCGGGTAACGAATTGTTTGGTTAAATAGACAGATTATTTCCATTACTGTTTTAAAGGTATCAGTATTGTATTAATGTCCATACAAAACCAAGCTCACTTATCTGTATGGATCATTTTGACTCCCACGCTTTCAGGGGTCTGCCATACTTATCCATTTCATTCAAGTGGACTCAGCCTACATTACAGGCCTCATTTCTGTGTTATAAACTACGACACATACATAAGGATACAGTTTCCTTTTACAAGCTATAAATTCTCTGGTTGAATCACGTACTGATCCAACCAATCATATGTCTTTTTCATTACAGATATATCATATATATATAACTTTACATCACTTTAAAGCATTATGTGTATCCCTGCCCCTTTTTTGTTGTTCTATTACATATCAACATAACGCTGTTTAAATATAGGCCACAGCCTCCCTCACCCATGTTCTTTTTCTACTTGACACCATCATACATTCCCCACTGTTTTATACAGAACTGTGCATTAAAGACACGGCATCACTTTGCCTTGGTAACACATTTATACTCTCATGGTATATCACTACACTTCATTTACCAAGTAATACGCCAATCAAGCCTTAAAAAACATCACTGGTACGGGTTACAAAGTCTACTTCATTCCCACACAGTCCACACTCTCTATACTACTCTCTTTTAGCCGTTTTCAGGCTGTCCAGGTTTAAATAGATATTTCACCACACGGTTTCCTGTGAGATATTCATACTACCAGGTACGTACACCTGCTCATATGGTATTCTGCCATACATTTAATTTCTCCCCCCTAGGTTAGAGTACTGGCAATAGGGTCATAGGCTTCCCAATATGTATTTACCCCTTCTTGGCAATTGCCATCAGTTAGTGGTCCCGTGAGGCCAACACCCCGCCTCAACGTTTCAGAGGCAAACACTCATCGGGCCACACGTTAGCTAGCCGCCTCGCATGTTGCACAGAGAGGGCCTCACCTGTCACTCCCTTTCCCTGTTGTTGTATGTTACAGTCACCGAGAGGCCTAAAATTCCTGCCACTACGACGGGTGGCCTCAAATCCCCTCGCGCCAACGCATAGAGCCTCTCAAGCCACTTGGCAACTAGTAGGGCCTCACCTGTCACCAAACAAGTGTAATGTTTCGCCATCCGGCTTAGCTAGCCTGCCAGTACGATTTTGGTGGTTTTCATACACTAATTAAACAAGTAAAAATCCATCCCTGCTGATTGTTTTGTGGACACTCCAGGAAAGTGGCAAGTAACATGGAGAATCCAGAGCACGTACAACATTTTGTATAATGAAACCTATATTTGTTTCCCCAGAGACACCATGTGGAGGATCTTCACTGGCTCTCTGCAACTTGAGGAAAAGTCTAATGTTCTACTGCATGACCTCCGTGAAATTGAAGCCTGGATCTATCGCCTGCTGCGCTCCCCTACCCCGGTGCCAGGACAGAAACGTGTTGATGTAGAGGTCCTGCCCTTGGAACTCCAGCCACCCTTGACTTTTGCCCTCCCTGATCCCTCACGGTTTTCACTGGTTGACTTCCCACTTCATTTGCCTTTGGAGCTTCTGGGAGTAGAAGCCTGCCTCCAGGTTCTATCCTGCATCATGTTGGAACATAAGGTATGAGATTCTGTGCTTAGCCTATGAGGTTTCTACTAACTCTAAAGTTACGAATTACAACTTGGTGAACACCCTTAGTCCTCTTAACAAGTGTCTGGAGTTTCTTATGGTGCACATCTTCTACCTTCACATGTAATGGTTCAAAATATTTTATTTAGAGTAATTTCATATTACACTGTTTTGATACAATCTTTGATCCAGTTGATTGAATGACACTTTGTTACAGGTGGTGATGCAGTCCCGGGACTACAATGCTCTGTCTATGTCAGTAATGGCATTTGTGTCTATGATTTATCCGTTGGAATACATGTTTCCTGTAATTCCCCTGCTGCCTACATGCATGGCTTCAGCTGAACAGGTATGACTCATTACTTAAATCATACAGAGTTTCTACAACGTAGATCTTTACCTGTTCCTTACCTTAAAGGACCACTATAGGCACCCAGACCACTTCAGCTTAATGAAGTGGTCTGGGTGCCAGGTCCAGCTAGGATTAACCCTTTCTTCTATAAACATAGCAGTTTCAGAGAAACTGGCATGTTTATAATAGGGTTAATCCAGCCTCCAGTGGCTGTCTCATTGACAGCCGCTAGAGGCGCTTCCGCGCTTCTCACTGTGATTTTCACAGTGAGAAGACTCCAGCGTCCATAGGAAAGCATTGTGAATGCTTTCTTATGGACTGGCTGAAAGCGTGCTTGCCGCGCATTCAGCCGATGACGAGAAGGAGGAGGAGAGTCCCCCGCTCGGCGCTGGAATAAGAGGTAAATTTAACCCCTTCCACCCCCTAGAGCCCAGCGGGAGGGGGCCCTGAGGCTGGGGGCACCCTCAGGGCACTATAGTGCCAGAAAAAAGGGGATTTTTTCCTGGCACTATAGTGGTCCTTTAATTTTATATTCTGACCACACTGAATAAGAGGGCTGTATAACAAATGCAAGAAATATGTTGTATAATTAATGGAATCCTGTTTCCTTGTGCAGTTGCTGCTGGCGCCCACCCCATACATCATTGGGGTCCCTGCAAGCTTCTTCCTCTACAAGTCTGACTTCAGAATGCCAGATGATGTGTGGTTGGTGGATCTGGACACTAATAAGGTGAGGGCCCTCCACCTTTCTGGGTATTACAGATTCAGCACTCTTCTACTGCTGGATGACAATGTGAGGCTTCTTTTATTCCCCTTGACAGGTTCTTGCTCCCAGTAATGCTGAGATACTCCCTGTATTACCAGAACCAGAGGCATCAGAACTCAAAAAGCATCTTAAACAGGTGAGCGGAGGTTACCAAATGCATATTGTCTCACAAAGCCAAAATGTGCTCTATAGCTGCTATGCTTGCATTTTGGGTTTAATCAGGGTGCCCCCCTTTATACAACATTTGTAGATTTCTTTTCTGCCTCTGTTTGTTTCCCGACTACAAATCCTGCTTTATTTTCCTGATATTTTAAGTTCTGGCTTTTCTTGTTGTCTTTGCATTCACGTCTACCCCTTCCCCCCTACCTTACCGTCTTTGCACATTAGCCTCGGGCCCCCTCCCCTTTTCACAATAACCTTCACCCTCCCCTTTCCGCATTGACCTCGACCCCATCCTCTTTCAGCGTTGACCTTAACCCCCATCCTCTTTCAGCATTGACCTTGACCCCATCCTCTTTCAGCGTTGACCTTGACCCCATCCTCTTTCAGCGTTGACCTCGACCCCATCCTCTTTCAGCGTTGACCTCGACCCCATCCTCTTTCAGCGTTGACCTCGACCCCATCCTCTTTCAGCGTTGACCTTGACCCCATCCTCTTTCAGCGTTGACCTCGACCCCATCCTCTTTCAGCGTTGACCTTGACCCCATCCTCTTTCAGCGTTGACCTTGACCCCATCCTCTTTCAGCGTTGACCTTGACCCCATCCTCTTTCAGCGTTGACCTCGACCCCACCCTCTTTCAGCGTTGACCTCGACCCCACCCTCTTTCAGCGTTGACCTCGACCCCACCCTCTTTCAGCGTTGACCTTGACGCACTAGCCTTGGCCCCGCTTGTTCCGCATTATACAGTTTGTTGAATCTTCTGCTGTCTTTATTATAAAGTCAGACTTAACCAAAAGGCTTGGATGCTGTTCATCCTTTGCATTCATTGTTGAATTATCTTATATAGTATTTCCAATAGTCTTTCACAGTGTTTAGAAATGGAATTAAGTTTATTATGAGAAGCACTGCTTTAAGCACCATTTATACAAGTTTTAATCTCAATTACCAAATGTTGTATAAAAGGGGTGTATTCCCATTTTACTGCAATGTTGTTAATTCTCTCATTTTTATACTTTTTGTGTATATATATATATATATATCTGTATATTTTTACTCTATTGAACTTTTTCTCTTGCTTTTTTTTCTTTCTTTTTTTCTTTATCATTTCCCCACCTTTTTTCCCTTTTATTTCTTTCACATCTTGTGCTCTGTAATTTTGTAATTTTTTTCCCTCCTCCATCTGTCTCTCTGTGCTCATGTGTCCGTCTTGTCTCTGATTGGCCGCTGGTGTTGTCATGTGACGTCCTCTCAGTGTCTGCACAGCATGTCCGTGATCACGCAGCAGCGCCTTCTCGCCTCAGATAACAAGGTTCCTGACATTCCTTCTTGTTTCTGGATTCCTCGTTTCCTGGTTTTCTGCTCGCAAACATGCACAGTGGCCGCTAGTGTCTGCTGGCTTGCATGTTTGCACTTCCTGTCGCACCACACAGGAAGATTAATGTATTCACAGCTTTTTCGAAGAGCGTGATCTTTTGTGTGTCTGATCGTGGCTGACTGACTAGTTAAACCGTTCCTGTTGTACAATCACCTTAAATTTCTGATTACATGGTCCAGTTTTCATTATGCCCTTTAAGAAAAATAGCCAAGTTACATTCTGTTTACTATTTCATAATACGTTCCTTGTTGCTTTGATTAATTACTTTTATTCCTCGCTATATGTCCCTTATGTGTGTGTGATCAGTATTTAGCGGATGGATGGCCCGGTTTTATAGTGTCTTTACAGAGCGGTAACCATGTGCTTTTCTCATTCAGGCCCTAGCCAGCATGAGTCTGAACACCCAACCCATCCTTAATCTCGATCGATTCCACGAAGGAACTGATTCAACACTATTACGAGGTCCGCATGATGCGCAAGGCACACCCTCTACAGAATTCAATCCCTTAATATATGGAAATGATGTTGATTCTGTGGATGTAGCTACACGGTGAGATGGATTTGCCTTTGAAGCATGTATTTTTATTATTATAGAACCCAAAACACATTGCCTAACTATAGGCAACCAAAACAACTTTAGCTTAATGAAGCAGTTTTGATGTATAGATCATTCCCCTGAAGTCTCAATACTCCCATTTAGGAGTTAAATCACTTTTGTTTCTGTTTATGCATCACTAGCCACACCTCCCTTGGCTGTGACTCACACTGTCTGCATGAAATAAGGGTTTCATTTCCAAGTAGATGTTAACTTGCTTTAGAAGTTTTTTTAATTTTATTTATTTTTTTCCTCTCTTCTCTCTTGCTCTGTAAATTGAGCTTTAATCACACAGAAGTGGATCCTACAAGGTCTAAAAGGCTATTAACAGACCAGGAGATAATAAATTTTAAATTAAACAGAATGTGATATAAAGAAGGTGTAAACATTCGATCTCTCTTTACAGGAAGTGTTTAAGAAGGCTGTGTCTAAGCCAGGATAGGTGTGGAAAGGCCTGTATAAACAAAGTGATATAACTCCTAAATGGCAGAGAATCGAGCCGTTAGATACACCCAAAGCACTCTATTAAGCTAAAGTTGTTTTACTATAGTGTCCATTTTTAATGTATTTGGGGCCCTGATTCAAAAATTTACATCAGTTTTGCCTTTTCTCTATTTTCGAGTTATGGCATCCACCTAATATGCGGATTCAACTGGTCGTCCGTCAGAATGCATGATCCTTAAGGCTTTAGACTCCAAAACAATAGTAAATGCAAAAGGTTAAAAAGAAGTACAAAATGCTACAATCACCTAGTGTAGGTCACCCAAACAACACAAAACTAGTGAATTAAAACTGTAAAAAATAGTGAGAGCACACTAGTGGTGTACATATAATAACATATACATACTATATTACCATAAATGAGTAGATACCTGTCAACCTTTGAAAGGATTGCTACCCGGGAAGGCTGGCCTCCAGATCAGTGGATAGACCCATGCATTACATCTTTGGGCTCGCACTGCAGGTGTAACTCCAAGCCGTGTTAGTATTTCTGCTTTCAATCCGTTGTAGTCTTGTGCTTGGCTGAGAGGCAAATCAGCATATGCTTTTTGGGATTCTCCACTGAGGCAAGGGGTTAACAATCCTGCCCACTGATCTGGAGGCCAGCCTTCTTGGATGGCAATCATTGTATGTATATGTTATTATATGTACACCACTAGTGTGCTGTCATCATTTATTTACAGTTTTAGACCAAACCAACTTTAGCTTAATAAAACAGTTTTGGTGTACAGAGCATGCCCCTGCAGTGTCACTGTTCAATTCTCTGCCATTTAGGTGTTAAAAGGACACTATAGTCACCTGAACAACTACAGCTTAATGTATTTGTTCAGTTGAGATCTATAGCTCCCTGCAGGCAATCTAATGTAACCACTGTATTTTCAGAGAAAATACAGTGTTTACATTGATTGATAGGAATACCTCCAGTGGCCGTCACTCAGACGGCCACCAGAGGGACTTCCTATCATGTAGGGCCCTAAAAAGGCCTTGTACACGTCAGACGTATCAAAATACATCTGATGTGTGCAGGAGAGAGAAGGCACTGTGTGCGCACCTTCTCTCTCCTGCCTGTCAGCAGAGGAGAGGGGACGGGCAAAGACCGCGAGCTGAGCTGTCAGTCAACTCAGCTCGCAGGCGCGCTCTCAGGACTTCATAGGGCGGCGTGAATGCCGCCCTCTGAAGTATGTGCGCATGTGCGGCGAAGCTCCTTGCTCGCGCCTGCCTATTTCGTCCTTTTGATAGGGAGCGCTGGAAACAGGTGAGTAAAATACTCTGCTTGGAGAGTCCCTTTAAATCATTTTTGTTTCTGTTTATGCAGCTCTAGCCACACCTCCCTGGCTCTGACTCACAACGTAAAAAAAGTTTCATTTTGAATCCGTACAGTGTATTTACTTCAGAAGTTCTCTCCTGCTCTGTTAAAGGACCACTATAGTGCCAGGAAAGCATACTCGTTTTCCTGGCACTATAGTGCCCTGCGGGTGCCCCCACCCTCAGGGTCCCTCTTCCGCCGGGCTCTAGGGTGAGGAAAGGGTTAAACCTCTTTCTCCAGCGCCGGGCGGGGAGCTCGCCGCCTCCTCTCCGCCGCCTCCTCCTCGGCTGAATGCGCATGTGCGGCAGGAGCTGCGCGCGCATTCAGCCAGTCTGATAGGAAAGCATCTGAAACTGCTATGTTTATAGAAAAAAGGGTTAACCCTAGCTGGACCTGGCACCCAGACCACTTCATTAAGCTGAAGTGGCCTGGGTGCCTATAGTGGTCCTTTAACTTGAATCCCATCAGGAGGCTAATGCAAGGTATTAATAGAACAGGATAAAAAAAATTCTTAATTAAACAGACTGCAATAAAGGAAGTTTAAACATTAGATCTCTCTTTACAGGAAGTGTGTAGGTTACATACAGGGGAGGTGTGACTAGGGCTGCATAATTTTTTTTTTTTTAACTCTTAATTGGATGCATTGAGGCGTTTAGCAGTGTTATTATTATATTATTATTGGCACTTTATATAGCACCAACATATACAGCGGCCCTTTACAATTGTAGAAAGGGAATTTTTACAGCTGAAGAAGGCCCTGCTCAATGAGCTTACAATCTATGAGGATGTGAGGCAGCTTGAGAGATATATCTATATATCTTGCCCAGTATTTACATTGTTATTACTGCTATCTGCAGAGGTACTTATGGTGCTCGTGAAATCTGTGGAGGTAATTTGCATAGAAATAAAGCAATTTCACAATTCTGTAGGAAATTGAAGGAAAAAGTGGGGGTGGGGATAAAATACAAAAGGGAACATTCAGCTTTGTAGTTGCTAGATAGTTATTGATGAGGTTTAGTAATACAGGAATATGCGATCACTGTAACTTTGAGGTAGCCAGAAAAGTACACCCTCTGCTATTGAACTTATAACTCCCACAATGCCTTGCATGCCTTAAAGGAACACTATAGTCACCTAAATTACTTTTAGCTAAATAAAGCAGTTTTAGTGTATAGATCATTCCCCTGCAATTTCACTGCTCAATTCACTGTCATTTAGGAGTTAAATCACTTTGTTTCTGTTTATGCAGCCCTAGCCACACCTCCCCTGGCTATGATTGACAGAGCCTGCATGAAAAAAAAACTGGTTTCACTTTCAAACAGATGTAATTTACCTTAAATAATTGTATCTCAATCTCTAAATTGAACTTTAATCACATACAGGAGGCTCTTGCAGGGTCTAGCAAGCTATTAACATAGCAGGGGATAAGAAAATCTTAATTAAACAGAACTTGCAATAAAGAAAGCCTAAATAGGGCTCTCTTTACAGGAAGTGTTTATGGAAGGCTGTGCAAGTCACATGCAGGGAGGTGTGACTAGGGTTCATAAACAAAGGGATTTAACTCCTAAATGGCAGAGGATTGAGCAGTGAGGCTGCAGGGGCATGTTCTATACACCAAAACTGCTTCATTAAGCTAAAGTTGTTCAGGTGACTATAGTGTCCCTTTAAAAAATCAAAAGGAATGTAACTATACATGGCAAGTAGAATGGCAGCTGGAGGGACCACTAGTTAATAAAATGTTGTTATGGGGAAGGAATTTATGAGCCAATGAAATAACTACGTAGATAGATTAGTTTGCCTTCCATCGTTCTGTAATATGTGACCCTAGGATGTACTTGGAAACTAGAGACCAATTAATGGACCTTTTTTTGATTAATTTTAATTTATTTCCATTTAAATCTAAACACTTTAAATTGTGTCTACCATTTAATTACAGGGTTGCCATGGTTCGGTTCTTTAACTCCCCCAACATGCTACACGGATTTCAGATGCACACACGCATCTTACGCCTCTTCCCTCGCCCTGTGGTGGCATTCCAGTCCTCCCCCTTCCTTGCTTCACGCCCCAAGACTTCAAGTTTTTCAGAGAAACTCTCCAAAACGCAGGCTGTGGAATACTTTGCTGAATGGTCTTTGAATCCCACTAACTTTGCCTTTCAAAGGATTCACAACAGTAAGTCATTCATCTTTCTCTACAACGGCCTACTTTATGTTGTCACGTTTTGTTTTTTCTACTTGTCACTGTCCCCGTTTCCCTACAGACATGTTTGATCCAGCTCTGATCGGGGATAAACCCAAATGGTATGCTCACCAGCTCCAGCCCATTCACTACCGGGTGTACGATGCAAACTCACAGCTTGCTGATGCATTGAGTGTCCCTGTGGAGCGTGATAGTGACTCTGAACCTACTGATGACAGGTAAAGAGTGCCGTCTGTCCAAACTGATACATTCATTGATTCATTTTATCTTCTATCATAGCCTTTATGACCTCTTCTTAATACATAAGTCTTGCATTTCTATGGTTCCTTTATTTTTATTTCACACAGGCCTTCCATTTCCTGGTCCTGTTCTTTTTAGCTATCGATTATTATTATTTTATTATTTATATAGCGCCAGCAAATTCCATAGCGCTGTACAATGGGATCTATCTATCTCTCATGTGCGTGAATAGGAAAAGTACAGTCTGTATGTGCTGGGCATGAGGTGGTACAAGCACAAGGAAATAGATATTGCATTAGAGGTTCTATGAATGGGTGGCTAAGTATATTAAATTTTCAAAGTGAAACTATTGGGTAAGAATGCATAAAGATAATGCATTAAATAATACCCATCTTCAAGTTTCCTTTGGTGCACCATTTAGTGGGTACTCACGCAGGGAGAGACTCTTATTCTGTAAAATCTGCAGATGTTTCTGGTAGTTGAAGACCACTTCCACTCATCCCTTAGGAAAAGTGAAATTACACCGTGAACTTATAATGGCCAAATGCATCGCCCTGGTAACTGGTTCAGAAAACCAGGGTGTGCAGCTCTCGGCAGAGCCACAATTTGCGGTTATGTTTAACATATTACTGCAGTTCTCTATCACTCCCAGAGCACACTTGTGATAGTTCTTGGTAATCCTTTAAGTTGTATCAAGTCTTAAGAGTTATATCACATATGACCTGGGCAAGCGAGCGTGAGCCACAAGAAGGAATTATGGCAATTTGATGTACATTTAAAAAGTTTTAATTGTAAAATGTATGGTGTGTGTTTGTGTTTTTTTTTTTTTTTGGCAAATCTATTTGTTTTTAGTTACCTTTCCACCACTATAGCTCTTTGGGACATCTGTATTGTTCCCAGTCAAAGGGACACTAAATGATGTTGGACGTCCTCGTGCTCTGCATGAGGACATCCAGCGTCCTCTAAAACCCAATAGAAAAGTATTGATTCAGTGCTTTCCTAGTGGTAGTCCTAATGCGATCGCAGCACTCACCGCGCATTAAGTCCCCCCGCTGGCTGATGTTGGGGGAGGAAAAGCAGAGGTGGAACCTTGACCCAGCGCCGATGAACATCGGAGCTGGAATCCGGTAACGGATAAAAGGATATTTAAAAATATCTATAGCTATGGTGGGGGGAACGGGACCAAAGGAGGGGTGCATTGTAGATAACTATAGTGCTACTCATACAACTTTGTATCTTTGTATTCCTAGCACTGCTGTTTCCCTTTAAATAAATAGCAGAGTAAGTAAGTGCGTGAGAGATGAAGTGTCTGTTGTGTTTAAAATGCACAGAGCAATAGAAGTGTAAATGCTTGTTCCTGTTGCAGTGGCAGTGATAGTGTGGATTATGACGACTCCAGCTCCTCATACTCTTCTCTCGGAGACTTCGTCAGTGAGATGATGAAATGTGATATTAACGGCGACACGCCAAGTAAGTAAATGTTATTGAGCAGTTAGATAGAAGCTTTTTGGGAGGAAGCGTTTTGTGATGTTTCACTTTGTTTAATAGTTGTGGACCCGCCTGAGCACGCAGCCCTTGGTGATGCCAGCGAGGTGGAGTTTGATGACTTCCAAGAGTACTCTGGGGAGGTAGAAGATTCTGCGCAAGACAGCGAAAACTCCCCCGATAACAACCACCAACGCTCTGGATCTAGCACCACTGCCAGTAGCAGCCCCAGCACAGTCATTCATGGGGTAAACACGGTGAGATAGAGATTAGGACAGCTTGGTAACTGCCGAGAACACTAACTCCTTGAAATGCGAGGGAATGAATTGGCTTCACGCATGTTTCAGTGCCGTTATTGTTTACAATAGAGATGCAAGCTATTTTCAAAGATTAAATGTTGAACATTTGTCATTGTTCATTCAACAGGAAGCCACTGACTTAACGGAGCCGGATGAAAAGGTCCTAGGAGGATTGCAGAATCACTTGCCGGCTCTGCCACCCTCGTTCAACCGCTTGGTTATGGAGAGGCGAGAGAGTGAAGCATCTGTTGGAACTGGGGGGGAGACTCGGAGAAGGGAATATGATAACCCCTACTTTGAGCCACAGTATGGATTTCCCCCCGAAGAGGAGAGTGAGGACCGAGAGGAGAGTTATACCCCCATGTTTGCCCAGAATATTAATGGAACACGGTAAGAGGGCAGTATGGTCTAATCCTTTATCACAAATCATTTCAATATTATACACACAACTGATATTTATTAGTACATTGTACATTTCAGTATTATAAAAATTCCTTAATAAATCTCTATTCTCTCTAAGCACCCCCAAATTACTTCATCTTAAAGGAACACAATAGGCACCCAAACCACTTAATCTCAGAGAATTATACAATTTATTTAAAATAATGTTGTAACTTTTTAAAGGAACACTCCATACCTTAAAGCACTTGCTTGCAGAGATGCTTCAGGTGTTGATAATGATCCCTCTTCACCACTTCAGAAAAATGCAGATCTCCAGAATAATCAGTATTTTATAAAGTAACAAGGTGGCACCCTCCTGGTTGTCAATCTCATAGGTGACACATTTCCTGTTCAGGCATGGTCATTATAACACGTGGGAGACCGCCCATGCTGTAAGTGAAGCCTTTAAATGCTTTTATAGTCAAAATCATGTAGTGCTTTTCAAACCTCTGTATATTCCTTTATGTTGCTTAACAGGCCACAAATTACTGGTATTTCCCTTTTATTTATCAGTAATCATTGTTTCAGCTCCCAGAAGCCTCTGCTCCGTCCCAGCAGTCTTAAACTTCCAAGTGATTCCGATGCAGAGACCGATTCCCGAGGGAGCTCCCCAACTTCAACTGTGTCAAATGCCAGCAGCAATAATGAGGGCTTTGGAGGAATCATGTCATTTGCAAGTGGGTACTCTGTGCACAATATAAAGCTTTAGTACTTAAGGAGTGGACGTTAATAGCAAGACACTTGCTTTTGGTGGTGGTGATAGTCCCATCAGGAAGGACCTACATCCTTTTCTCTGTAGACCTTTTAATATGGTGTTACATACATATATGCACTTATATTGGTTGTGGAACTGTGAATTCAAAATGAGAGGCGGTAATGGGGAACTAGCCAAGCATGGTGCTTTGCTCAGTCTGTTTTCCCTTTCTTACTGTAGTAGAAAATATTTAGATATCACATTTTAAATAACCGTCCAGCCAGGCCATTGTTATTGCTCAGCAGTGGGCCTTCCTGCCCGGAACAAGGGCTCTAGATGTAATCTGAGCACACGATCATTGTGTGTACAGTAAACTAAACCTACAAACAATCCCATCCATTAACGGTCTGTGTACCACACCTGAGCCTGACTTCTAGCATCTAAATCATCTCATATTGTCAAAGTAGCCACTATCCATCACTAAAACCCGATCGAAGGAGTGGCCTTGAGGACCATGCTTCTTTCCGTATTGGTTGTACATGTATGTTTCCCCTGCCCTTCAATGATTCAAAATCAACTCTGGACAAAAATCTAATTTTAATTATAAATTGTATTAAATGCTGGTTCACTAAATCTTTTTATTTTTTGGGATGAAGAAATCTTTGTTTAAACTTTCTTACCTGCACCCCTGTCCTGTGAAATAAATAAAATAACCGAATACTGCAGGGTTTTTGTTTTAGTAATTTCATTTAAGAAGATAAATGATTCCGAGTTCAACTTGTCAGTGGGCCAATCAGGATGAGACCGATTGGCCAACTTGTCAGTGGGCCAATCAGGATGGGGCCAGAAAGAAAGCTAGAATTTAAATTTCTGTATGGACCAGATCTAAAACCTATTCTAGTACTTCTACAATGAACCTTGAAGATTAGATTAGTAGAACTAACTACTCTTTATTTTATTTTTACACATTCTTTTTTGTCATACTTTTAACTTTACAGAATTGTAAGCAAAACATTCTACTCTGTTTGAGAAATGTGAACGTTTGGAACTGGCAGTTAGTCTCTTCGAGTCGTTAGGAATCCACTAGTGACTGCTTTTAATAAAATCCGTTTTCCATTTCAGGTAACCTGTACAAAAGTCACAGCAGTAGTTTCAGCTTGTCCAGTCTGACCCTGCAAAGCAAGAGTGGACGAGATAAGGCGACCCCCTTTCCCAGCTTAAAAGGTGAGTCCTCTGTGAGGGTCTTAGAGTATTCCCTACCACAGCTTGAAAGGTAAGTGCCCTTAACTGTAGAGAATAGTGGTAGATGGGACAGTTCTTTCCATGTTACAGTAAGTAAGTAGCCCGAAAGGGATTGTCGGAATGATGCGGCTTACTGTGTGTCTGCTGCGTTGGGTGGGGCCTTCATTTCCATCAATCACTCCATCGTATCCATTTATTTCCCTTTAGTTGTTTTGGGGGGGTGGGGGAGAGGGATTGCCTGCAACATGCTGGATGACATAGGTCATTGACGCTTTTGCCATTTCCTCTCAATTGCTGCATGGTTCTACCACTCTTGGTCAAAGGCCAACTGGAGATGTCTGGGGTAGTGGGAAAAGGTTAGTATGACTTCCTCTGATATTGGTAGCTGCACCCGCAGTTCTCATCTTTTTAGTTGTATAAGAGTGTTTGTGATATATACCGCTGTACGAGTGTACCTGTTTGATGAATGTGTAAAGGAGGAGATTACATTCATTGTATATAGACCGAGGTGAAATCGTGCTGTTTGTTCTACGTACATTTGAAATAGTTGGTCAGATTCTAGAAATCCATACTGGCTGCAAGTGTTTGGGTTTTTCTCTTCTGAAAGGAGTCTGACTGTAGCCACCAACAATCAGAATGACCGCTGTGTATCTGTACCTGGCCAGTACAGCAAAGGAATATTTGTCATATTTGCAAGACCAAAAAGAACAATTAAAGAAGAACTTTGTAATTTAGTTCCTCTGTCTCTTCAAGAGATTTCATTATGTTTAAAGCCTATTTAATTCAATGTATTGAGATGCCCAGAGAATGTATTGACTGCTGTTTTAGGGCACAGCTGTAAAAGCCTAATGCGCTACCAATAAGATTGCGTGGGGGCTTCTGTGCCCGCCGAGTTACAGGTTTCATTCCATACCAGTGTTTCTGTCTTCACCACCTACTCATGAATTTATAGACTGCAGTGCTATAATAGGATTATACAGGGCTTAACACTTTAAGCCGTCCTCTACAAACCAGTTACTGGCATGGGTGGGATGTTTTCATTTAACATTGGCTAGTGGCTAATGGTAATTTTGAGCCGTGGGATTATACAATGTTTATTGTTGCATTTTAGTTTTTTGTGTGCATTGAATGTTTGTTGTAGATAGAGGTGATTTCCTTAGTTCCTTTCTTTTTCTTTTTCTTTTCTTTCCGTTCTGTTTTGTTTATTGTGGCAAAAGCACAAGGATAAATTGCATTCATCTTTAACATATCCGTCCCCTCACCGTGCCCCACTGACATACATAATTCTAAGTACATTTCAGGGCTGTGACCAGCCATTTCATCCAATCATAATCATTCCATTACTTGGGTCCTTGGGGCAGTCTATTGTGTGATCTGATTTAACGTAAACAGTAAGTGTTCCAAGTGGTTGTAAAATGTGAAACCCGAAAGGAAATAAGACTTCTTTTCCCTTAATTTATAAGGTGGGGGGGGGTAGGGGGGGAATAGACTGTCCTTCATTTGCCAGCCTGTTTTGGATTCTTTTGACTCTTTATTTTTTATATAGGGAATTCCAAAGTACTGTTACTTGTGTAAGATCAAGCTGCCATATTGTAGATGGATCCTAGCTGGCAACAGAGCCAGGTTAGCACCGTAGCTGTTAGTTATTACTGATGATTGGCTGTCACTAACCTTGCATTTTGTGTCCCAGTATTTGGGCTTAATACTATAATGGAGATAATTGCAGATTCCGGGCCTGCCCCTACAGAAGGTGGGTGCCTGAAGCATGGGCTATGCATGTTACAACATTCCCAGCATCCTCTCTGCCTCCTCATTAGTTCGCCATGATAACACAATGCCTTGTGCTTGACACGTTGTTGTTTTTGGCTGTGTTTCAGTTGTCCTCAGTCACGTGACCATATTCTTCCGCCTTCATGCATTTCACAGCTCATGGGGTCCCGGGAGCCTTGTCATTGCTACTAGTTTTTTGTTTGTCTCTTTGCTGAATTCCAGTGTTTCTTTTTACTTGATGTGTGTTTTACTGGCTTGATGCTGCTGTAACTCACCCTCTGTATAATAGCTGCTCTGAAATTATTCTCCCACAGCCAGTAACAGACGTGCGCTGGTAGATCAGAAATCATCAGTCATCAAACACAGTCCAACAGTCAAAAGAGAATCTCCGTCTCCTCAAGGACGAGCTAACAACTCCAGGTATACAGCCAAGCACTTAAATTGAGTCGGTTATTGCTATTGAATTGACAGGTCTTCATTCCCTTGCCCAAGTAAATGCTTTTGACCTGCTTTTATTGACGGACTTACTGGTATTATAGTATAGATATATCCTAAATGATTTAACCCAATTAAGGTTGGATGTCACGTTGGACCTCCAAGCAGCATAGCAACTTAAATGAGATGGGAAAAAAACATTGCGAATCTCTTATTTTTGTAAAAAAAAAAAAAGATTGTGATGCTCCATCTTATTCTTTAAAATGTAGTTTAAAGATTTAGCGATTGACGTCCCCATGCAGTTAAGTCCTTGCACAGCCAGAATACACGTTAAATTGGAGCAGGAGAAAGAGAAACTCCTTTAAGTGGATACTAAGACCGGTGGCAGATTACATGCGCTGTCTAAGGTGCTAAATCCATATATTTGTCTCCTGTTGTGAGACTGCTGCGCAGCTTCAGGTGTCAGGCTGGTTACATTTTTGTTACTACTTCGCAGTGAGAACCAGCAATTCCTGAAGGAGGTGGCATTGAGTGTCCTGGATGGGCAGGGAGTAGGCTGGCTAAACATGAAGAAAGTACGGCGCTTGTTGGAGAGCGAGCAACTCCGCGTCTTTGTGCTGAGCAAACTGAACAGGTCCATCCAGACAGAGGAGGACAATCGGAATAATGTCATCCCAGAAGTGGTGAGTGACACACGTCATGGCTGTTAAAAAATAAGAAAGAGTTCCCTCTTTCTTGGTGAAATTTGAATAAATTATATGAATATTATTAATTATTGTAGTATATCTAGTATATTCTTTTAAGATTTTTAATAGCCTAATTCTCATGAATCAATAATTATATCAGTAAATTTGTTATTTTTGTGTGTGTTGCGCAAAGTAGCGATTGCAGATTTCCGTATTCCTCCTGTACTTCATTGCAAAAAAGTTAACATTTAAAATAAACAAACCAGCTAATCTACTCTACACTGAATACAGTCTGGCTAAAAGGGAGCAATTTAAAATAGCGCTTTTTGTCACTTTTGTCTGCAATAGTGTGAAAGCTGATCTGAAATATCTAACCATGTGACAAATATAAGTGTAATATCGATTTAAAAAAACAAACAAAAACTAAACACAACAATTAATAATGGATACATAAATGGTCAAACACTGCCATCTTGTGACCAAAGTAGATGGAAGTCTTTGTGTTAAACAGGTGTATTATTTTTTTTTATTTTTTTTTTTATTTTTGTATCCCAGAGTGAATCCAATTGCAATCTAGAGAGAGAGAGAGAGAGATATATTTAAATAATATAAGAAACACAGGCCCAGAGTGATTCTCGGGCAGTTCTTTTCGTTGTAATAGCTTCATATAAAGGGACGGACATCTCTCACTTTCTTCCTCGCTTTCACATTCATTTCCAGTCTCCTTTTTACCTAGTAAGTATTAGGTTATCATAAAATGTTAAACTAACAAACATTTACAGGAATTTACCATAACTACTACATGTTGTTTTAGTGGTTATGGTCATTGGATTATTGAGGTGCAGTCTCTGCTATGCAGCCCTCCTCTCACAGCAAGCTTGGCCACTTTGAACTGATAACACTGAAGTGAAATGTGTGCATTTCCTCAGTGGTAAATGACAGCCCAGGCTTTGGGTGCCCATTGAGCCTTGATGTTTGTCAAACCGTTCCAATGATCTTACATGGTCGGATGAATACTCCTCGCAATATAACTACTATAATGAACTGTACTGTCTCCCCGTACAATGACAGAGACTGCCTAACCACTGTTGGGCACTCTTGTCAATATAGACAAAGTATGTCTACCAGCAAATATGCCAACAGTGTGCCACACACAGCATTCGCCTTATTGACCTAATACATGGTATTGACTTCATGTAAAGTTGTGGAACAAATGCCTATTTCACTCCATGTTTTGTTTCTTGTATTCAGGAGATCAACAAGAAGGTCTACAAGGGGATGCTGGATTTATTGAAGTGCACAGTGTCCAGTCTGGAGCAGTCGTATGCCAATGCTGGTCTGGGTGGCATGGCAAGTGTCTTCAGTCTGTTGGAAATTGCGCACTCCCACTATTACAACAAAGGTAAGAAATACGGAAGAACCGCTTCTCAAAGGGGGAGTAGGAGCAAAGCGCTCAGCACGTGGGAGGTTCCTTTAGCGTTGTTTACATTGAGAGGAATGCTGTTATGATCTATGGAATAACTAATTTTACTCTTTTTCCCATTCCTTCACCGTCTTTTCTTCTGAATCTTTCTTTCTCCCTCTCCTTGCTGTCTCTACATCTTGTCTGCTGGTTTTATCCTTCACCCCTATCTCACTTTGCTCTTTTCTCTATGCATTCTCTGTCCTGCTCCTCCTTTTAAGAACCTGAGAAAAGGAAATCAAGTCCTTCTGGAGATGGTGCTGTGACCCCTATGTCTAGGGATCCTGTTTCTGCCCTGAGGGGAGAACTTCGGCCTACCCCCCAACTACCTGCACAGCAGTTGTTACCCCGCCAAACTAGCCCTGCAGGCAAAGGGGTCCGAGAGTTTGACACCCGGAGTCTTAAAGAAGAGAATTTTGTGGCTTCAATTGGTGTGTATAGATCAGCAGAAAAGGGTACATCAGGCATCGCTGCCAGGCTCCCACTGCATCACCCACCTTGGCATCACCGCTCGTCCCTGTCCACCCCCATTATTCGCGTTCCGAATCACCCCATGGCTCTATTATTCTTTGGGATTCCTACTGTCCTACGTGATGATAATGCATCTATTGGAGAATATATATATTACATATATATGTGTGCAATGTTATGAAAATATATATAGAAGGTATAGAACTGCTATGAAGCTTGGAGGCTAGGTGCGGTATAACAGGCAAAGTTTGTGTGACCCATTGCTGCTTTGATTAGTAGTGCTTCTACAGATTTGGAATTGGAAAAATGTTTGTAGAAGTCTACCACCTTCCTTTTTACCCTGTGCAACCCTGTTTTAGGATTGTTTTTTTTTTTTTTTATTATTATAATTTCTGTCCTTTATTAAGGCAGTCATGTGGTCACAAGACAATAACATGGCTGATTGGAATCAAGGCAGTTGATGTCACTGAATCATGTTGGGCTTTAAGCTGTTAGTTGTATCTTCCAAGGTGTCTCTAGAATGAGTGGACTTCAGTCATGTCTGTGGAGTGTTTCACTTACAGAGAGTTCCATCTCTGTATGAAAGAGAACTACCCAAACCCATCCCTGGTGGTTGTAATCCAGAGTTTTAGGATTACCCCAAATGTAATGAAGGCTATGAAAGTGATGTGTAATCAGAAGTCTCGTACCAGCCATATTTTCTTAGTAGGATAATGACAAAAAAAACCATATTGAATTACAGTCAGGAGTACACAACCCCACCAACTTAAATTGCTTTTGAAGTATAGATTCTGTGTTGAGCATGTTGGGGGGAATATTTACAGGCAAAACCGTTTGAAACTTGCTTAGCCAGTTTGAAGTTCCAAGATGAGCGAGATCTATACATGTATAAAACATACAAAGATTTCTAAGTGTTGACATTACATTCATTTACTAAATAGCGTGTTCATGTTGTCAAAATGTCTTTGAAATTTTTCTAAATATAATTGTTGCAATTCTGTACTAAACCCCCCTGCCCACCCCCACAAACTATATTAAGTAATCGTTATGATTTAAAACATTGTGATCTGTCTGATGCTATTAAAATCGGTAGTTTAAGTTGTAACGCTGCTATCGTATAACATTAGCCAGTGCTATATGATTGCATGTTTATGTTACCAAATTTTAGTTTTCTTTTATTTTATTTCTTTATTTTTTGGGGGTCACATTCCTGAGCAGAAATTTCCACAGCTCTTTAATCCTGGCATCACCGTTTGTTACTTGATTGTAAACTGCTCTATTTCTACTTCTATGTATATATAGTGCTGTGTGTGTGTGTGTGTGTGTATGTATCTACATATACATACAAACATATATGATAAGATATTTATGTATACATGCATAAATATATGTTGCAGCTACTAATCGTGCCTTTTCTCTCTCTAACACTCTCTCACCATCATCCACGCGCTCACACTGAAACATGTCTGAAGGTATCTTGCATCCTCCCCTTGCTCCGATTTGGAGAAGGGTGGGGGTTTGTCTCTGTACCCATTTTTTAGCCTGTCTGATCCGCCTCTGACTCTCTCTCTTTCTTTCCTGCTTGCAATGCATCTTGGGTAGAGTTGTGGAACAAGCACCTGGAAGTGAAAAAGCAAAAATCTATGGAAAAACAGAGTAAGAAACCCTGGAACCCCCCCTCAAACCTTTCCCAGATCTGCCAGCAAGGCGGCCCCAGGCTCATATACCACATTAAAATTAATTTGGTATGGTTTAATGTGTATATGACTCTGTGTCGATACAGCAGGGACCTGCAGCTTGTTGTAGTGTATGCAAACCTCTCACGAGGATATCTCGATTTGGAACCAAATGATTAACTGTTGCCAAAGAGGTCATTTATGCAACACAATAAAGGATCATGCTGTATGTCCTGATGAAGCTTTTATTGGTGCACAGCGCTGTCACCTCTGTTCTCTATTGCTCTTCCTGCCATGGTGTTTCAGGCTAGACCATTGAGGGGTCCATTCACAAAGGATTGATGGTTAATGTTAAGTCTGCGGAAACCTACTGAGTTCAGCTGAATTTGGTAAAATCTCTTCTTATAAAGCCCCAGCTTCTGGGTAGATGAAACATACCAGAAATGCTGACAAATCTGGTTGAAACGGATGAGGTATTGAGGCGCCTCCTCAGTTAGAGGAGTCTAGAGGTGTCTACAGGGCTTGCTTTTGTGTTCAGTAGACTTTCAAATAACCCTTTTGACGTTGGAGACTCAATTTGGCCAAAATAATCCGAGTCTTTTCCCAGCTCCGTGAATAGATATAAGCCGTTTTTATCTGCAAAACGAATCGACCCCTGAATGTCCATAGTCCTGATATCTAGATGTTAACGTGTGTGTGCTGTGAGAAAGGGATCCACCTTTAAGAGACTTTTCAGAACTTGGATAAAGCCAACCCATTCTGAAGACTCTGGGGTGTGCTGGCAGATTTGTGAGTGGAGAATGATTTTTGTTGGGGGTTTCTTGACTTGAGGTAGTAACTGTAGTGGTGAACTCATATCTTCCCCCTGCCTCACTCCTCTCATTACCCACTCCCTCTTCCTAGCGCTTTATTTACATTTTGTCACTGCACTCATATCACCCGTCACCATATATTGAGCATGCGGGATCTGTATACCAATGTCACAACCTCGTTAAACCCTGGTATAGCCTAGCTACACAAAGATTCAACAGGTTGGAATGTAAAACCTCGAAATTATTAATTATTTTTAAATAATCAACGAATACAAAATAAAAGCCACATGTAATCAACGAACCGGTCTGTCACTGTCTTGGTAAATGTTAGGTGAACATGCTCAGAATTGTATGGGCAGCTGCCATAAGATAAAATTGGGTATATTGGTACACAGTGTTAATATACACTGTGGTTGCGTGCTACACTTGTATTTTGTTTCATCAACGAGCCTTTAATTAAAGTTTTGCGTTAAATGATGATAGAAATTTCGCTGGTCGTAATGTAGACCTTAGACAACATTAGAAGACTCCCACAAAGTACATGCACTTCAAGCTGGGAAATTGTGTTCTAGATTCACCAAGATATAGTTCCATTTTTATTTGTTTTACAGGTAGAATAACCATTTGACACATAATGGTAAATATTCAAGTCCTTGGTTTAGTTATTTATTTTTACTATTGTTTTAGAACCTTTCTGTCTGGGTTTCAAAAGCCACCAACGAAGCTCTTTGTTTAAAAGTCTTTTGGGTTAAGAGTATCCAACCATTATGTTCCTCCGCGTCTCCCTTTAAGCCGGTCTTCCTCTTGCCTTACACAGGTACAGAGCAGGCTAAACATTTCTTCGACATCGGGGACCCAGAGGAGAAGAGGTCTCAGATCAGTGCAGACAGTGGTCTGAGTGTTACCTCAGGATCTCAGGTAAGCTGCAAACATTCCGGAAGTAATCAGTTTTGTAGGACAGGGTAAAGCTTTTTTGAGTGTCCTTGTTTGAACATATTTTGAGGAGGATTTACAGTTAACTTGTCTGGCTAAATAAATTCTTTTTAGAATAATTTGAGTTTATATTTCCATTCACAAAGGGTCTTTAGAGTTTGGGTTGCTTTTACCTTGATTAATACATTGTGTATTAATTTATTTTTTTCTGTGGAATCAGAAGAGTGACATAGATGGTAGCAGTGTGGCACCTTCAATTCTGATCCGAAGTAGCAGCCAGGATTCGGAACTCAGCACAGTGGTAGGAACAGAAAATGCTCGATATTCTGTCTGATAAAGAGAGAATGTTTAATGGTTCTCATAGAAGGAGATAACTGAATACTTGATGCTTCCTTTGTTAATGGTGATGGAGAGCTTGGTGTTTGTTGTCGAAAAAGAGGCTTGGGAATGGTTGATATTTCTATTAGAGATTAAGTGGCTGCTGAATGCCTTTTATTTTCTCTGAAGATAGTTGCGATCTAAGAAAGCTTACTGATCCCACCAGTGAATGCTTGATCATTGCTATGGAGAAAGTGATGGTGTGAGAAAGCTTGATATTTCTAGTTGAGAGTGAGACCACTGAATGTTTTCTCTGGGAAGAGTGAGAGGTAATTAAATGCCTAATTCTGCCGGTCTTTGAATGCTTGATGCTTTATGAGTAGAGAATGGATTCCTGATGATGCTAGATGGTTTGTAGCAGGAGATCCTTTAAACATGACAAATGTTTCTTCTACAGGTGAGTAACAGCTCAGGGGAAACCATGGGAGCTGACAGTGATTTGAGCAGCAATGCTGGAGACACGTTGGGTGGAGCTGGTGGAGGCCACCTCTCCGGATCCAGAGGAGCTGTATCGGACAGTGAAATCCAGATGAACTCAAACACCGGAGCTATATTTGTAAGGGGCAGAGCTGGTATTCCTTGACCTTTTATGTTGATATTCAAAGTAATCTAGATTTTGGAAAAAGAACTGTTAAATTCTGTGCAATTCATTTCCAGAAGAAAGTGGTATCTCTTGATTATAGTGACACTAGTTTGGGCGGGTTCTAATACTCCAGTTCTAACTGCAGGTTATAGATGATGGGCTGTTCTTTTGCCAGCACAGTTCTGACAGAAAAAGTACTTGTTTGAACTCAAGTGCTCAGTGTTTGTTTGTTTTTTGGGTTGTTGTTTATTTTTTCACGATAGAATATCAGAACAAAACCTGAATAGAAAACTCAAGTAGTTCTGGTTTACTCGTGTGTAAATGTTATCGCTCTATAGACTGTAAGCTCCTTTTGAGCAGGGTCCTCCTTTAACCTATCGTTCCTGTAAGTTTTTTCTAATTGTTCCACCCCACCCCCTCGCCTTCTTATAATATTATATAGCGCTATGGAATCTGTTGGCGCTATAAATGGCAATAATAATATTATATTGTTCTTTCCATCATAGGGGAAATCTCAGTTACTGCGTCCGGGTGAGAAGGAGATCATTGTTAGTCCGGGACGCCCACCTCAGGACCTGAGTCTGCGTATCTACCTATATGAAGGCCTGTTGGGTAAGTATTTTTTATTTTTCGAAAAGCTGCAATAAGTGTAGTAATGTATCACACTGAGTGAAACCCTTTTAAATTGTCATAATCCAAAAACTAACGACATCTTGCACCTTTCTTATATCACCATCAACACTTTTAGCCCTCTGTCCGTGATTTCCATCCTTCCCTGCCAAAAAAAAACCAAAGGTCTATCTCATTCTGTGCACTTTCTCTTGTCTTCTCAGCATTTCAGGGCCTCATCCCTTAATTGACATATATCTCCCATCCACCATTGACCGTTCCCTTCAGGATATAATTTCAAATTAATGCACAGCTTCTCCCACCTTCCCTTCAGTGGCCGCTTCTTAATAACCTATAACTTCTCCCGTCTTCTCTTCTTTGGCCTCTCCTTAATAACCTGCAACTTCTCCTACCTTCTTTTCTGTGGCCTCTCCTTAATAACCTGCAACTTCTCCTACCTTCTCTTCTGTGGCCTCTCCTTAATAAGCTGCAACTTCTCCTACCTTCTCTTCTGTAGCCTCTCCTTAATAAGCTGCAACTTCTCCCACCTTCTCTTCTGTGGCCTCTCCTTAGTAACCTGTAACTTCTCCTGCCTTCCCTTCCATTGCCTTCACTTCAGTGACCTCCTTCCCCAGATAACACATGACCTCTTCCACCTCTCCAAGTCACCTCGTCATAAATGAGCAGTCTTCACTTTTAAACCATCTTTGTCTGCAGTTGGGGGATCTGTGTTGTTTTTTAGGGCTTTCAAAAGTCCTCTATGATTCATGTTTGACAATAAACACTCTCTTACTACATATAAATGGTAATGAAAACATTCCCGCTCAATGTTTTAACAAGAGCCCCCCTTCCTCTGTGCCTTTCAATATGTACTGCTTGTTACCTTTGCCCACTTCTTGTTCCTATTTCTCTTGTTCTCACGCTGCCTATTGGTGTTGGCTGCATTACACAGGAAGAGATAAGGGCTCAGTCTGGGATCAGCTGGAAGAGGCAGCCATGGAAACCTTCTCGCTGAGTAATTACGCCTGTCTTACCAACTAGTTGCATTGCCATGCTTGCTGCGTGACTGCGTTATACCCCTGCATGTGTCTTCTTGTTATCACCCTGTCTATATTGGTTTTCATTGTACTTCTATATACAGTACTTCTTATATCCATCAGTATATATCGTATTATGACAGATTTTACTGCATTTCCAATTATACTTAAAGGAGAACTGTCACTTATCTGGGAATTATTCCTGCTTTATTTTTATAAGGTGGGGAATCATATTAAGTCAGATGTTAACTTGCTTTTAAAGTTCTTATCATCTGCTCTGTAAATTGAACTTTAATCACATGCGGAAAGCTCCTGCAAGGTCTAGCAGGCTCTTAACAGTGCAGAGGATAAGAAATTCTAAGTTAAACAGACTGTGCAATAAAGTGTAAACATTAGCTCACTCTTTACAGGAAGTGTTTAGGAAGGCTGTGCAAGTCATATGCAGGGAGGTGTGACTATGGCTGTATAAACAAAGTGATTTAACTCCTAAATGGCAGATAATTGAGCAGTGAGACTGCAGTGGCATGATCTATACTCCAAAACTGCTTAATTAAGCTAAAGTTGTTTTGGTGACTATAGAGTCCCTATTAAGCGCTGCTAATCATTTGAATGTTTTAATCAAATCGCTATTGTTTCTGTGCTCCATCAGAGCGCATACGTTACTTAAACAGAAGCTTTACTTTTCATAACAGTGTATGTTCCTTGCATAGTTTATGGTCTTAGTGGCCATACAAGTGCTTTTTGGCCAGTGGCTCCTTCATTGCTTCCTGTAGTGGCGCAGGTTCTGTAGTAGTAGTGTATCTGGCTCTATTAATGAAACCATGAACTATACTAATGATAAGTTGATAACACACAGAGTGGCTTTTATTAGCTTGGGAAGCAGTTCCATTCACATTTTGTTCTGCACTCCCATTGAACATGATCGGATAGAAAGGGCTTGCAGGTGTCTATCTCCTAATGAGTGTAGTCCTTACTTCAGGAAGCTGGATTTCTGTGCACTTGTACCAATACAGGAGCTTTCTGCTTGAAGATTGGACCAGTAGTATGGTGTAAAAACAATGCAATGAGACCAATTTCTTTAAATCTCAGCAAGTCAGAGGAGGTGTTTTCAGAGTTCTTCATCCAATTTTAGCGTGTCTTTGTGTAACGGGTGCCCTCCAGCAAGGGATTCTACCAGAACAGTACTCCTAGTTTATTATGTTTTAGTTCTGTGCTTGTAAAAATACCGCTGGCCTAACATGCACACACAATTCAATCTCCTGTGCATGAGCCTTGTTTAAATGAATAGCGTTTGGATATGTTGCAACGCATTCCCACGTGATAACTCACAGAATCTGGTTACTGTGGATGATCTGTTTTTTGCTGGATTGTGTACCCAGAAGGCAGGGTTCTGTTTGACATTCAGAAACAGCTGTTTGCTTTCTATTCCCACCCTACCTGTTCACTGAATTCCATAGGTTTTTAAAACACACCTTTAAAAATCTCCCTAAACAACTCTCTGGCACTTCAACATAGGTTTGATCCCGAGAGGGGATGAATTTGCATTCTGATTAAATCTGGTGTGAAAAAACACAGTTTTGATGCTTATGCACTGTCCCATTCCTTCTAAATTAGGGATACAAAACCTATATCTAACCCAGTTTTACTGTAAAACAAACCATGACGGAGGCTGTTTAAATGCTCCTCTCTCCTAACCAGTGACCTATGCAAATATATTTCTGAGCTTAATCCGTGTCCACATTTAAGTAGTAGAGGGTTATTCGGACGTGAAAGAAAATTCTTGTCTATGCCTGTCTTCCATTGTATCATTTCCCAACCCTCTTTGGTCATGTGACCACGGCTTAGTGAATTCCTGTCGTTTATCTGGTTTCTGGAAAGTCTGCAGTTATCCAAATTTCTGTAAAACTATTGCTTCTTGATTTGCCATAGACCTGTAGAGATACCAGACACTGTTTATTGTTGGGATAGGATATCTCTAAGAGAAAATGCTGATGGGCCAGGCTGTAATGTGTGTCTGTGTTGTGTTTTTTTTTTTGTTTGTTTTTTTTATAACCCTTTCTAATGAAGCTAAGGGGGGGCAAGCCACCTAAGTGGTGGTTCTAACACTATAGGGTCAGGAATACATATTTGTCTTCCTGACCCTATATTGTTCCTTTAATTAATAAATCCGAAAAGGTGAAGATATGGTTTTGGGACGCTCTTAGCCATGTTGTAAAACAATATGATGTCGAAGCTATAGACATATTCTCCTAAAGAAGCCTTTCATTAAATTAGTTTTATACTGACATTCTATCTTGCATCATGCAGTTCCATGCACAAGGAAAGGTTTAGTACTACAAGCAAAGATGTAAGGGTAAAGGTGGTATCTAGTTGTTAAAGGACCACGGTTTGTTTTCCTGGCATTATAGGGTCATTAGGTCTCTCCCACCCTCAGGGCCCCCCTCCCGCTTGGCTGAAGGGGTTAAAACTATAGAGTCCCTATTAAGCCACTTACCTTTCTCCAGCACCGGGCTCGCACGGCGCTGGCGAACTCTCCTCCTCCCTCTGCCGAAAGCGCATGTGCTGCAAGAGCTGTGCGTGCGTTCAAACTGCCCATAGGAAAGCATTACTCAATGCTTTCCTATGGATGTCCAGCGTCTTCTCACTATGTTTTTCACAGTTAGAATCGCAGAAGCGCCTCTAGCGGCTGTCAGTGAGACAGCCACTAGAGGCTGGATTAACCCTCAGTGAAACATAGCAGTTTCTCTGAAACTGCTATGTTTTCAGCTGCAGGGTTAAAACTAGAGGGACCTGGCACCCAGACCACTTCATTGAGCTGAAGTGGTCTGGGTGCCTATAGGGGGTCATTTAAATCGTATATCGGCAAATATTCTAGGGATTGGAGTAAACTCTGATATATTTATGATAATTATTTTAATGTGGTTTTGCATTGCTTTTAATCCTAGCAATAGTAGCGTCCGTTCTCCTGTAAAAGCAACAGATTTGTAGCAGCAGTACAGTGTGAGGATATTCCTTGTACGTTGAAACTTTGTGCAGATACCAAGGACGAGTATCAAGAAGTCCAGCCCTGCAAATTCTTAGTGATGTGAAGGAAATGTGCTTTTTGAGACGTTTTGTTTAGTGCATCTTAGCTGTTTCTCATATTCATTCGGAGCTTGTACTGTTTGCGTTTCGTGCATGAGTTAATGTTTTGAGTGCCTGCATGGTATGAAGTAGCTTCGGACCAGCACTGACTTCCATATATATTGCAGGCAAAGAGAGGTCCACTTTGTGGGACCAGATGCAATTTTGGGAAGATGCTTTTCTTGATGCTGTCATGTTGGAGAGGGAAGGCATGGGTATGGATCAAGGACCCCAGGAGATGATTGATCGGTGAGTCTTCTGTTGTTGGTTCTTCTTCTGTAAACCATTTCGTGTGGACCCTGATACTGGATGTGCTATTCTGTCTTTTAAGGTACTTCTCCCTCGGTGATCATGACCGTAAACGTCTTGAGGAAGATGAAGATCGTCTCTTGGGAACTCTACTGCACAACATGGTATCCTACATGGTGATGATGAAGGTTAGAGCTGCGTGTGCAATCTATACACCTTAGTATAAAGGTGTAACACCTTTACACCTTGGCCCAAAAAGTTATCCTTCTAACTTTATAGCATATTTAGCACTCTATGAGCCTCTTGTAGAAGACAGAAAGTGTATGAGCATGTGTGTGTATGCTCAAAACAAGAGTGAATACCAAATTGTCCTTTTGACCTAGTGCATGAGTCTGTTCTTCAGTATTGTATAATATTAACAGTTGCATGCTTTTAAAAGCTTGACAAAAAATAAAATTTTTGGGTGTTGCTGAGCTAATAAGGCAATGGTTTCCAGATTTAATAAGAAATTATTTTTTAATCTGCAACAATCAGATTGATTCTGTCACAAGGTAACATCAAGAACCGTTCTACCCATCTAAGATCTTTGTCACACCTTGTAATAGACACCAAAATTGTCTAGAATACAGTAGGGTCTGCTTTTACCCTTGGACATTTTTCTCCTCTGTCTCCTTTAGGTGAATAAGACAGATCTCCGGAGGAAGGTCAGGCGTCTCCTCGGAAAATGTCACATTGGCCTAGTTTACAGCCAAGAGGTCAACGACCTCCTGGACAAAGTGACCAATTTGGTAAGAAAGCCATGGTTTGTGAGAAGCAATTCATGATAAATGTGAAGTGTGTGAAACTGTATGAAGCAAAGAGTTAGGAAGCTGTTCTTCACTAATTATCTCAAGAGAGCATTACTCTGGTATTTAATGGATAAAGCCATCAAAGTAAAGACTTGCTCGATCTTGTTAGGGGCTAGTGATCTGATCAAACTAATTTTATTTCTCTGTTCTAAAGTGGAACATCTCCATTTGGTGACCCCAAAAAACTGTAATTAAAAAAATACAAATTTTATATGTTAATGTGATCATTTTTAAATTCTAGGAATCTTGTAGTCCAGTAGCAATAGACATTTCTACTTAAATATATCTGGGTAGTGTCCTTTCAATCCTGTTAAAGTGCTGTAATTTACTCCTGTATTCACAGAATGGCCGTGAGTTAAACATTCGCCCGAGCGGAAGCCGTCACATTAAGAAGCAGACATTTGTGGTGCATGCTGGGACAGACACAAGTGGGGACCTTTTCTTTATGGAGGTGAGATAATTAAGAATCCTATTACTCTGTGCTATGCTTACCCTGCAATTTTAGATGTAGTCCACACCTTCTGGAGTGATTGATCCCTTATTGTAACATTTAGTAGCATAAAAAGGAACACTCCAGGTGTAAAGTGATGGTTGCATAGGTAAGCAGCAGTGAGCTTTGCTTAGACCAGAAAGAGGCTGTGCCAATCAGAGAGCCTCATTTTGTTCTATGAGGTCTGATCTAATCCCATGACATTTTTGTTGTATTTATAAACATAGTATATCTCATCTAGAATAGAATTTCTGCTGGGGAATGACCTATGTAACCCATGAACCCCTCTTGCACAGGGGAAACATGGGTAAATCTTGTATGGGGGAAATAAAAGGAAAAATCTCTTCAATACTAGGTACAATGAGACCAGGGCAGAGGATCTCCCTGTGCAACAGTTGTGGCATTATTCAGAGTAACTCTTGGAAATTATTGTTATTTAAGTGTTGATACCATGTTACCCATAGTGTTTTATGGGTTTGTCAGTTATCTTCCCTGATATGTTATATAATCCAGCAGTCTATGATCAGTCCTTTGCAACTGGCAGTCAGCATAGAGAAAACGCACAGAGAAGAGGAAAAATGAAACCATGTTTCTATTTTCCCTCCTCATTTGCATAGTGTGCCTTGGCTGTGCCTGGAATCAACAGGTTTGTAATGTAATTTGCTAAATCTTTAATTCCAAACGGAGCATTACATGTAAAAGGTAACCAAGTGATTTTCAGTGGTTTAATTTCCAGAGACATGAGGGTTCCATCTCAATCCCTTCACTAAAACGATTCTGTTGACACCGACCGCAAAGACCTGCATCCATTCAGTCTGTTCTGTTTTCTATGTCTCTCAGGTCTGCGATGACTGCATCGTACTGCGCAGTAACATCGGAACAGTGTATGAACGCTGGTGGTACGAGAAACTCATTAACATGACCTACTGTCCCAAAACAAAAGTGCTGTGTCTGTGGAGGAGAAATGGACAGGAAACACAACTCAACAAGTTCTTCACTAAGAAGGTGGGCCCCCATTCAGATGGAGATAAATGGCTAATAATGATGCTAATCGAGAGATAGGCGGCTCATAGAGACAATTGTTGAGCTAGCAGAGCTTCAATTCCCATATTTTGTAATATTTGGCACTGGGAAACTTATCATAAAATCACTTACTGTATTGATTTACATTTTCCTATACATCATTAATGTTTTAAATTCTTTCTCACCCATTTAAAATAGTTTAATTCTATCATTTGCATAATTTTAGTGAGTTAAATATTGCATTTTTGAGCCGTCACTCTTTAATATTCTATTTACTGACCTGTATATTAACAAAGTGTTTGTGAGGTTTAAAACATTAAAAATAAACGTATAAATAAACAGCACTGTTTGGGGTAATCACTAAAGTTAAAATTGCTGCAAATTCAGAGTGAAATTAAAATGTAAGGCCAAGACAGCCAATCTAAAGACCACTGATTTGGAGAATTTTTTTAAGTTGTCTATTTTGGCCTTCATTTTAAAATGTATTTTGAATTCCTAGCAATTCTCTCTCTAGTAAATAACTCTGTGTATTGTTTTTTTATCACATCACATGGAGTAAATGATGGTTCCCTTTTATACAGTTCTAAAAAATCGTCATGATGGTAATTGAATCTGGTATCTAAATGCCCCTATCATCCTTTATTGTTCACGTGCTAAATCTTAGATCGGAGTTCTAGTTTCACGGAAGGTTTGATTCTGTTCTCCCTTGTTTCACCTTTCAGTGTCGAGAGCTGTATTACTGCGTAAAAGAAAGTATGGAACGAGCTGCAGCGCGGCAACAAACTATTAAACCAGGTGAGTCAAACACGATTTCTTTAGTCTGTAGATGGCATGATAACTCCTTTTTGTTTAGAAGAAACATGATTTGTAAATTCTCTCCTCCCTGTGCCATCAAGTTGTGAGCCCCCACACCCCTCTCCTGACACCGGTGCAGTACGGTTATTGTTTATTTCTAGGGGTATGCTCATTATACCTGATTGGGTTTGTGAATTGACTCTTTGATTGCCACAGGTGCTCTCCAAAAGGTTAAACTTGTCCTGCCAGTAGAGCGTTGGTGACCCGCACTTACATATCTTTTCTCACTGAGGTGAAGGGAACATTAATGGGGATTTCTTTTATACTCCATTATATTGTAAGGACGTGGCATTTAAAATGATTCACATATCTCCAGCATTTGCAGGCTGTCCTTGCTGTTCCGTTTTTGGACAGCTTTGGATGTATAACACCATTTGACAGTGGACAGTTTGATGGCACCAAGGACTCCTAATATCGTATTACAATAAGCTGTAGTGGTTATGGTACTCTGATCTTTAAAATCTCAGCTGTTGCAGTCTCTGGAAGCTTGATATCTGCAGCAATGTACTTGCTCTACAGCCCCTGTCCTTCTTTGACCTTTTATTTCTTTCCGTTTCTATTCAAGGCCCAGAGCTTGGTGGGGAGTTCCCTGTTCAGGATATGAAGACTGGAGAAGGGGGGCTCCTGCAAGTTACCTTGGAGGGAATTAACCTGAAATTCATGCACAGTCAGGTATGAGGGGAGCGTGGAACTGGGAAGAGCAGTTGTGTGTGATTGAGTTCAGGGTTGACTAGGGGGTGGAAGGAGGCAGATCAAGGTGTAGATGTGAAGTTTGTGTTCTGTGTGTTCTCCTTTTTATGTGCATAAATCATGGAGGGCTGGATCTAAAAGCGTTAGTGCTTGCTTTGTGGAGTTACTGTTCGCTTACCATAGTATGCATGGTGTGTGTCCAAGGCCTGGCTGGGTGATTTCAGCATCATGGAGTATGGATTCAGTCTGCTGCTGCCGCCTCTGAATACAGAGTGATACCTGGGTGTGTATGCAAGATGGTGTGTTTGGGTCATGCACTGCATTGCGGGTAATTGTGCTAGCTGCAGTGTGCCGGGTACCCCATGTTTTAAGATCCCTTTTACCTCTCAGTCTGTTTCCTTTGCTTGCTGAAGCTGTGTGGCACTCGTGCTGTCTCTGCTCCATCTTGCTCTCTGCCTGCGGGAAGGGGGGAGGGTGATGCTGTCTCTTTGTTAACCCTTTCCTGGCTCAGGCTGACCTCTCCCAGCGCTGACACTCCATATACAGCTCATCTTCAAGTCACCTGTGAAAGGGAGGGGGTGTAAATTTCAGGTCATTGTTTGGGAGGAGGCGGGAGTTTCTGCAAGTCACAACAATGTCACCCAGGGAGCAAAGGTCTTTCTGTAAAATTTAGAAAACCATTGATATGTTATTTTGGAAGACAAGAGCTGGATTATGAAACACCATTGCTTAGTATTAAAGGGAGGATTAATCCAGAGGACTGTAACAGGCCTACTTGGATACTAGTAGTTCATTGTGTTACAATATGCTCTTGAAACAGACCATAATGGCCCCCTCGATGCAGTAAGGGCAGCGCCTGCGCTCCGTGCTAGGTGAGGAGCAGGGACGGATTTGACAATGGGGGCTTCGTCTCCTGGCTCCCCATGTCGATGTCTTGGTCTGGGCTGTGTGTTGCTTGGGTAGGAAGTTGTGGTATCGCTGTGTCACTAACCGTCTCATTTCTCTCCCATGCTCACTCCTCCTGCAAGGAGCGGAAGGTACTCACTCTGCCGCCATCTTTGCTTTCGCTGCTCCCCCCCTTTCCCGAGCTGTCTGTGCTGCCTCCTGTCTAACCTTCAATTCCTCCCCCCCCGGCTTTAGTTATGGTTTATCTCCTGATAATTTTGCTGTGTTAGGATGCGTCTTCCCCATTATTCCAAAGCTGTTTTCCCTCACACATCAACTGTGTTACAGAAATGTGAATTCCACTGGATATCGCAGACATCAAAAATTAACCTGTGCCTTCTGTCTCTCTCCCTGTTCCTCACAAACTTTCTCCCTGTCCCCTTCCTGTCCTTTTCTCATCCTATCATCCCATAACACTCTCTTGCTCGTCCTTCATTCATCTTCCCATGTTTCATTTGTTTCAATCCTTCTCCTGTCTGATGCTTAATTACTATAATTTTACTGGCATTACGGTCTGCAATCTCTCTATTTCTCCTTTTTTAAACCTTCTATCAATGCTTAAATTTCACCATCTCTGTTTTAATATCACCCCCTTAATCTCCAATGTAACCCTTCTTCCGTTACTCTTTTAATATCTCCCCTTCCTCATATACATTGCCTCCGTCTTTACATCTTTTACATCTTCCCCTCTCTGTCTACCCACTCCTAATGCCTACATCCCTCTCAAACATTATATTTGTCTTCACAATGCTACTCTTTCGTTTAAACATTCTCCAATCTGTCTATCCTTTCTTTAAATTCTGTTCACTCCCTTAATCACTATCTCTCTCTCCTTGCAACACCTCTGATTTGCTTTTAACGTTTTTATCTCATCCCTCCTTCACTCTTTCTTCTAATTCTCGCAATCTTTTACTTCCCCTCTCTTTCCTTCCCTCCTCCTCCTCCCGTCTCTCTGTTCCTGTCCCCCTCTCTCCTCTAGGTTTTCATACAGCTGAATCACATAAAAAAGTGTAACACTGTACGGGGTGTCTTTGTCCTGGAAGAATTTGGTAATTACCATCCTTTTGCTGCTAGGTCTGTATTTTCACGGCAGTAACTCAGGGTCCGAGGTGCTAGACCTACAGAGGATGTGGACTGTCTCAGGCCGGGATGTTCACGTGTGGGTTCTCTGAGTTACTGCTGTGGTTTTTATTTTTTATGCATAACATCCCTGTGGCAGCCATGAAAACCTTCCTTCTCCAGATCAGGTAATGTTCAGCCTGGAAAGTGCCCCTTCTTCTCTAGGGAGCACTCAGTTTGTTAAGAATACCAGTGGAATTATTGCACTATATATGATACACACATGGTACCCCTTAGATAATCACTGCTGGACTTTCTAGGTACAAACAACTTTACATTACTCACTAAACGGGATTTTAATGGAGACTCAACCATTCAGTATGTCTGGGACTAGGTCTTCTTATTTGTTTCCTGGCATCAGCCCCGAGTATCAATGAGTGGCGACCCTCATTGTGTTCTGGAGTTAGACAGACAGGCTATTTTACTGGCGGTGTCAGATACGTATACATTGGGATACCCTGAATTAAATTTAATTTACAGATTTACCAGCCATTAGATCACCATTAACGTTACATGAATTGTAAATATCCCAAGAATACACTAATTTAGGAATTTAGGTACACCTGTTTATTAAAGGACCACTATAGTGCCAGGAAAACATACTCGTTTTCCTGGCACCATAGTGCCCTGAGGGTGCCCCCACCCTCAGGGACCCCCTCCCGCCCGGCTCTGGAAGGGGGAAAGGGGTTAAAACTTACCTTTTTCCAGCGCTGGGCGGAGAGCTCTCCTCCTCCGATCCTCCTCTTCTCCCCCGCCGGCTGAATGCGCACGCGCGGCCAAGGCCGGTCACATAGGAAAGCATTCATAATGCTTTCCTATGGACGCTGGCGTGCTCTCACTGTGAAAATCACAGTGAGAAGCACGCAAGCGCCTCTAGTGGCTGTCAATGAGACAGCCACTAGAGGAAATAGGGGAAGGCTTAACCCATTCATAAAAAATGGGTTAACCCTAGCTGGACCTGGCACCCAGACCACTTCATTAAGCTGAAGTGGTCTGGGTGCCTAGAGTGGTCCTTTAAGGCAAATGGCTAAATCATTCCAAATGCAGCTCAAGGCACTATATAAAACATACAGAGATGGTCAGGAGGTTTAGTACTAGATCATTGTCATTCTCTGCGTGATGATTCTGAAAATGGAGACAATCAAATTTCGAAACATCTGAAGGACAAATGTAAATTTTGTCGTTTCACAGAAACATCAATGTTTTGTATTGGAAAAACATCTATGCACCAAAACCACCACTTCTTTAAAATGAAGTGGTGTTGGTGCTTAAAGTGTCCCTTTAAAAAAGTGATCACTGAGTGCATATCATAACTGCTGAATTGTTTGTCATTTTAACACCGCAATGGAAGAATTATTCACTCTATTGATTAATGTGAAGTTGTTCTGGTAACCGGTTCTGCATAAAATCTGCAATAGGGTTTTTGCAGTCTTTTACTTTTCTATATTTTCTTCAAAAACCAAGTTGCTAGAGAACCACATTAAAATAAATATTTCTTTAATTTAATTTATATAATTGGGTGTACTTGCTCTCAAACTATTAATGAGCCCCAACGTACATGTTCTTCTGCAAGGTGCAGAGAATCATGGGAAGAGCTTTTCTTAACACCTTAAGGACACATGACGGGAATATTCCATCATGATTCCCTTTTATTCCAGAAATTGTGTCCTTAAGGGGTTAATCTCCTGAGGAACATTGGGTTCTCTTACTCCGCTCTGACATCTCCAGATCTTGTTTCTTACACTGGTTTAGGGCCAGCACAATGTTGTCAGTTTCAATTCCATAGTCTATCATGTTTACCGTTAAATATTCAATTTGCTTATTCGACTAAATTTAACATCACTGTTCATTTTGTCAATCAGATCTGAATGGATAACAAAGGTATCTCCTTGTCTTTAAATAGAATGATGTAAACAGAGGGACACACAACAAACCAGTCTGTAGACATTACAAATAAACAAAATAGAATTTATTGATACTACCCTCATAACTTGTGTATTATTTAATATTCTTACAGAAAACGATGCTTGAATTGCAAAGCTCTGGTTGAATAGTATTTAATATAGTAATCTGCTTATTTATATTTTAAACATTGTATTTGTGAGGTATGACAAATAAAACTTAATATAGGAATCCACACCTGTCCATCCTGCAGTGAAATGCCCCCATCTAAGCTCAATTGCCATGCTTGTTAGCCCTTTACCCCTGGCAGTCCGCATACAAAGAGCACACAGCGGATCATGGGAATAGCTGAAATGAAGCAGTGTTTCTCTTTATTTTTTGCAATGTGTGCCTTGACTGAACTTGATTGTGATGTCCATTGCGAAATCTTTAGTCTAAATTTATAGGAAATTGGATCATCACATGAACAAAGAGTTTAACACACGTTCTAGACGATTTATCAATGTTTTAATCAGTGCTGTAATCTCCAGAGAAGTTACTGTTCCCTTTAAGTGAACACACAGACTATATCCAATGTTCCCTCTAAGTTTATCATTGCAGTCATAAGGGAATATATATCCAAATCTTGGGAGATATTTATTCCACAACTGCAGTACTGTTTGGGTTATGGTGAGCAGTCCAGCGCTGATGTATTTAGATAATTTTCATTCTGTAAACACCTAGAAATAACTGCACAGCAAGCTCTGGAAACTGCCTTTGACATTGGATGTAGTATTTTAACTACATCCCAAGAGGGAACTCATGTCATATTTCATGATACCGTGTTTGATAGCCATTCAATATTCCATTGCGAGAGACTAAGACTTTGTGTTATAATTGACCTTGCTTTCCTGGGTGTATTGTTCTACTTGCTACTCTGGTGACTTGGATCTCCCAATGTTGTCTTCTCTGTGACTGTCTTCTCCCCTGGGCATGACTCTGTGGCCTATCCCCTTTCCTACTCCTGGTTGGGACACCTACTGACCTGTCTTCCACTGCTGATGTCTGTTTTCTCGCTGTGTTTTGAACTCTCTTGTTTTGTGTCCGGTTTTAGTTCCTGAAACTAAAGAAGTGGTGAGCCATAAATACAAGACCCCCATGGTAAGTAATCACCAGCCCCACCAGCATTGTCGTACTCAATCAACTGAAACTGTGTGAGGGGAGTTAAAGGTCTAAATGTAGGGCACCGTTATCATAAAAACGAGGCTTAGCGACAATTCTTTTAGTTCATTATGTATGGGGTATTTTCTTCCTTGTTATCAATGACAAATGGTTTATTTTCAAAGCAATTGTATTCATTGTTCAGTGATAACCAAGTGATGTTTCATGAAGAGGCTAATTCTCTGCTTAAAAAAAATAGAATGTGAAGGCTGATAAGAACCAATCGGCACATCTAGTCTGCTTGCCCTAAGGATATCAGGTATTCACACTGCCTTCCAGCTGTGGAATGAGCCAGTGATTACACGGAAACCATTTATAAAAAGTAGTTCTTGGGTAAAGTTCTAAAAGTGGAGCTATCGCATTGAATGCCAGTTACAGTTCTTGTTGACTGCTCTACATTTGGACCTTTGTCTCGGAACAATGTATTTATTATTAATCTTTCCTGTGTGACCTTGCTCACGTTGTGATGCGCATATAATGGAATCTGAACCGTAGTCATACAAATAGTAGTCCCAACATGGAGACCGGACTGTCGGGCTGGGGACCTACCTATGGAGATAACACAAAAGTACAACACATTCAAATAACAAATGTCCAATATACCCAACTGGGCATGTCCGACAATGTGAATCCCCTCTAATGAAAAAAAAAAATAGTTTATTAAAAAGAACATAAAATAAATTTAAAGGGACTCACCATAAATACCAAACAGTTAGAATTGGGCTGCAACACAAATAAGGGGGAGGTGGAAATGCATGCAGATAACTGAGGTACATACACTTAACTCATAGAGAGGTCCTCTAAACAAGAAGAGTGCTTCTTGCAACTAAAAATGGCATTAAATCATTTCACAGTAGGAGCAATTCACTTGAGCCCAGTATGAGTTACCCCCTTGGGCTACAAAGAGCTACAATGTATCTCTTAGTATAATCGAGTACAAATTGTATCCTAATTACTGAGAAAGCTCTTCAAGTGATATCTAAATGGAAATAATACAGAATAACATGGATTTATAAGCACAGACCTGTTTAAGCTACCTCTGTGATGTCATATTCTATACTTCATATGTCTGAGAGAAAAGGAGCGAAAATATCCAGAAATGACTATATATGCAGTGAATCCCATGGTCGCTCCTAAAAAATAAATCTCTCGAGAATACTACCCCATGCCAGCCAAAATATGGTGATTTAACTTAAAGGGACCTTATAGTAACCAAAACAACTTTAGCTGAATGAAGCAGTTTTGGTGTATAGATCATGTCCCTGCAGTCTCACTGCTCAATTCACTGCCATTTAGGAGCTCTATCGCTTTTGTTTCTGTTTATGCGGCCCTAGCCACACCTCACCAGGCTGTAACTGACACAGTCTGCATGAAAAAAACTTTTATTTTCAATCAGCTGTAATTTACTTTAAAAGTTTTTTTACTCCTGCTCTGTAAATCGAAGTTTAATTGCACACATGAGGCTCCTGCAGCGTCTAACAAGCTATTAACAGAGTAAGAGATAAGAAATTCTAAATTAAACTGAATTTGCAATAAAGGAAGTGTAAACCTTACATCTCTCTTTACAGGAAGTATTTGGTAAGGCTTTGTAAGTCACATGCAGGGAGGCGTGACTAGGGCTGCATTAAAAAAGTGATTTAACGCCTAAATATTAGAGAATTGAGCAGCGAGACTGCAGGGTTACTTTCACTTAAATATGAGTGCCATTAAAATGATTTCAGGCGCTGGGGGTAGTTGCACATTCTTTTTAATTAATTAAGCGCCAATCCACCATTTCTCTGTCTTGTTCTTATTCTGTCAATAAAAAAAACTGATTGTTTTGGGGTATAGAAAAACATTTTTGTCCAAAACTGTAGCTAGTGGTCTGGCCTCCAGGTTCCTACATAGAATTGCGGTGACTGTTGGTAGAAGAGTAACACTGGTAACTATCTCCTCACTATAAATTGTTCCTTCTTGCTTTTCTCAGGCCCACGAAATCTGCTATTCCGTCCTTTGTCTCTTCTCCTACGTGGCGGCCGTCAGAGGGAAGGAGGCAGAGATAAAGAGCAGACCCCCGCGACCTGTGTCCAGCTGACCTACCCTTTACGAACACAACCTTGAAACACGTATTACTCCCTGTTGCCCCCTCCCACGAGCCGGTTCTGCTGACCACTGCTACCTGGGTTTGCTGTTGATGACATTCCCTCCTGTATTGACTACTCACCATCACTACTGCTTTAGTGTTGTGTGCTTTGTGTGTTACTGGCGTCTGTGCAAGGACTACAGCTCAGCTCTTCCAGACTCACATGTTCTCTCTTTCCATGGTTCCTCCAACCCCCTTCCTCCCTTTACTCAAGATCATATTGTGTATTAGTGTTATTTGTGCTGACTGGTAGCATATAGGGTCACATAAGGCTGCTTTAGGGCGAGCGAGGGAAACCGCAGGCTTTGCCCTGACACCCTGTGTCTCTGCTCTGAATGGTTAATCCACTACAGAATACCCACCTGCTCGCTTGGCAGTATCTTCCTGGGTTCCCTGGGAACTTAGTGGGTTAACATTGGCTGCTGATTTTGAAGTAGATTGGGACCCACATGGTGCGCTTTGTAAATATTCATTACATAAATCCACCAGCTGTCCCTATCCCTCGCACTGCCCGCAGCTTTATGGGCACCGAGATGTAAATATCCAGGTCTTTCTTATTTATAGAAATCTGTACAGTTCCTGAATGTGCAATAAACATGCATCTTGATGCTTTTTCTTTGTGTTTTGCAATTATTGTTTGGTTATAAAAAATATGCTTTATTATAATTCAAAATAGGAAAGTGTTAGAAATGTTTGTACCAAATGAATGTGAAATATGTTTTTCCAAATACTGTTGAATAAAAATAGTTTGAAAAGACAAAATAAATAGGAAGGTGCACCCTTCTATCATTAATTGATAGGAACAAGTATTTTACATGGAAACCATCGCTTCCCAGGATTTTTAATATTATATTGACTTTTCCCATATAATACAGAAATCCACAATGCCGTATTTACCTATATCCCTCCAACTTGGCTTCCTTAAATCATTGTTGTAGTACCTTTGAACCTGTTAATCAGGTTAGAGGAAAATGAATTCTAAAATGGCAGGGTCACTCAGAAATGTCTTCTTACTAGTTAATGTAAAAGCATATAATTCAAATAGTTAAACATTTCCAGCATTGCAAGCTTATAGTAAGTTTTGCTGGAATTATCACATGGAGATCTTTCAACAGCCTCAGTGACCATTACTGATAAAAAGAAAACAAGGCTGTAGAGATCCTGTGATTTCAGCAGCCAATCAGAGTCTGATTTGCAGAGTAGCTCCCAGCATTCCACTCTGCAGGAAATGGTTATTTAAAATCTCTCAACATGCTAAAAGCTAGCTGATAATACATGCATACAATGAAAAATTATCAGCACATGTGTGACAGACCTCTCATTTCTAGAACATCAATTAATTCCAATGTGCAATAAAGCCAAGTACTTTGTGTTTACACACCTAAACAAGTCTCCCTTAACCCCTTAAGGACACAACTTCAGAAATAAAATGGAATCATGACGGAATATTTCCGGGGAGTTATTTACTAAACATTGAATTTTAGTAAACTGAATTTTTTGTTTTCTAAATCAGGTTGGGACTATAAAATTTAGCCTGAATTTTTTTTAAATTGGTTTTCAGCTCATTACAATTTGGTGTTTAGTGAAGAAATGCCCATTTTAAGTGTATAGGGTTAGAGCCTGTGTTTTTGCCTTCTTTTGGATCAACCGTATAAACTGAAGTGAGAGAGGCTTAGATTGATGGACAAAAGTATATTATTATTTTTTCCGCCTATATTGCTATTTAACTATATTATATAGCGTACAATAAAAAGTTACTTGCTCATTATCTCAAATCCCTATGCACATTTAAATAATTGTTTTTTTTTTTTTTATATATATATATCACTCCAATGGCCATTTAAGTGTAAGCTCACCTGCCACATCATTAATCTTGCACTTGAATGGCCATTGGAATGATTATATAAAAAAACCTCCTGTTATTTAAATGTACATGGGGATTTGGCATATTGTGCAAGTAACTTTTTTTATTTTTCTTCATTGTATGAATTGGGGCTGATGTGTATTATAGTCGGTGCTGCTGCTCAGGAGTGATGGGAGTTTGAGCGCAGGGCTTAGTTTTGTATGTTTAATTATATTGCATGCCTGCTGTTTTCAGATAATGGTTTCCTTATTTTTACTAGTAAAAAAAAGTACAAGGAACAAGTTTGAACCAAATGACGTAAAGTGGATCTCACTTGGTCTTCGGAGTACAGAAGGGCCTTTATATAACTATATACACTTTTAGGCTTATCTTACAGATATAAGCATATGGTTATCACTAGACTTAAACAGTAACTTTCAGTACTTCGCATCATGGTAAAGGTTAAAGGAACACCCCACTGCCCAAAATAAATTAAAATCACCGTTTAGTAGATATACCCCAAATAACATTTGTGCATTTATTTATGCTTTTTTTTTTCATTGGAGTTATATGTAAAAACAGCTTGCAAAAGTTGCAGATCTTATCTGCAGCCTTTGCAATCCCTCCCCTTCTAACCCCGCCCAGACTTTCTATGGCCGTCCAATTACAGACTTCCCAATGCAGCTCAATGAGAAGTCTTTGCAAGCCTAGTTTCTCCTAGGATCAGTCCAACTTGTCTGTGCGCGCAGAGTGTTTCCCAATGGCTGCAATCCATTTATTGAGTGGTTTTACTTGTCCAAATGATTAGGTCTGAGACTAATTCCCAGCATACACTATATAAAGATATATTATTTTAATTTATATTTTTAGAAGGGCTTTTCAGTGCATAAATATGGTCTGTGCCATTTCATGTTCATTTCTACACATCTTTATGACCTATAAATAGAGTAGGCCTGCAATGGAATAATTTAAAGGAACATTAACCGCTTAAGGACCAAACTTCTGGAATAAAAGGGAATCATGACATGTCACACATGTCATGTGTCCTTAAGGGGTTAAAGAGTTGTGAATGTTAACATGTATACTTGACACTATAGTGCTGACATGGCTGTTTAGGTGACTGGCTCCTTGATTTTACTCCCTTTTTCTCCAGCTCCATGCCTGCCTTGGTGCAGCTCGCCCCTCCTTTGTGGCTGAGATCATCAGTCTTGATAATCATCCAATCCATTGCTTTCCCATAGGAAAGCATTGAGAGCCTATTGTGTATGCATGGCCAAACAACACACTGCACCATTCAGTGTCTCCTCATAGAGATGCACTAAATCAAAGGGTGCTGTACACTTTGCAGCACTGGACTAGGAAGCACCTCTAGTGGCCATCTGAGTGACTGCCACTAGAGGTGTTACTAGGCACCATTGTAAACACTATCTTTTTTCTGAAAAGACAGTGTTTACAATGCTAAAACTACAGGGAGAGATTATTGACGCCAAACCCATTACATTAGTCTGTAGTGGTTCTGGTGACTATAATGTCACTGTAAAACAAAAAGGAAAAAAATTGGGTGGGAGGGAAAGAATCCCCCACCCCTCCCCAAAAAATTATTTTGACTGACGTAGGGACAGGAATGTGTTTTCCTTAAAGCGGCACTGTCATGCCGAACTTACCTTTCTTTTAATCGATTCCTCTTCTCTCCCTCTCTCATGACAGGGACTATTTTGTCTTATGTATTTGTCCTATGCCTGACCATCACTGACCAGCGTAGGAGCAAAGTGTGCTTCATATCCGGTGGTCATAGAAATTTCCCACAATTCTCACCTATCCTCCGTGTTCTCACAAAGCCTCCTTCCACTTTTCTGTAACGTCCTGTCACTTAGACTGAACACGGCATCTTGCAGCCGCTTAGTAGAGAACTCCCTAATTCCCACGGTATCAGGGAGCTATCTGTCAAAAGGCTGAAAGACCTAAATTGGTCTTTCAGCTGAATTTACTAATACTAAGTAAAGATTACTTAGTATTCGTAAATTCTGCCCCTCGTCTATTAAACAGTGAGCAGCCTAGTATCCCCCCACCTGTGCTGCGTGAGTGGGGGCTATAAAACTGAAGGGGGAACTAGTAGTCCCTATTTTATGTTTTAAAGAAAACTAGAGCAGACAGGAAGAAATGAAGAACAGATCATGAGAGAGGGAGAGAACAGGAATCTTTTGAGGAAAGGTAAGTTAGGCATGACAGTGCCGCTTTAAGACATCGTACCTATATTTGTTTTTGTAAGCATTTTAAATTATTTAATGTTCTTGGATAACCTTTTAAAATATATATTTTTTTCAAAATACTATATCAAATATATCAAAATATTAAGTTGTAATATTTATGGATACATTTTTAAATCAAGGCAATTGTAAGCTGACTTAAATATTTAACTTTTTTAAACTTCTGTACAAGCTATTACATTTTTAGTTTTGGGATTATTTTTTTTTTGGGGGGGGGGGGAGTTATTGATTGTTCTGTCTGTTCTAAAGAAGTCTTAATGATAACCCCATTTCCTCCTCCTGTTGCATTCATAATGGTTTTGCAGCTTATCTGCTCCTTGCTTTATCTGTGCCCTCTGCCTGTCAACACCAGGAGGGGGGTTAGATGGGACTGCCATATTTGGACTTCGGGCCTGAAAGTGCACTCCTAAAACTGTCAGCAGCTCAGAATGCTACAAAAGCACATTCACCCTGAGTGGCGTCGATGGTACTTTAGACCTGACAGGCATGCTTCATATCTTGGCGTCACCTAAAATAGCGTCATGAAACCAACTGAAAATCCTCTGGGTTATTTGTGTAGCAGAAGACTTAGCTCGGGTCATTGGGTCAAAGTACGGAAAGAGTAGTAGCTGTAACCAGCTCTACCTCTCTGTAAGGGTGTTATGGTGGTGCATTTATATATAGATAAAGGTCTTCTGGACCAAATACTCCTCCTTAATTTCAAAAGAAAATTCCTAGCACTGTAACACGGCAAAACTATAAAGAAACAAAAGCCAACAGATCTACGTCAAGTATCTAATTCTGGTCACCGGTCAATAGTGTTATAAAAATAGTAATGTGCTATAAAGTTACAGTTTCTGTGCCGGAATGTTCTATTATACTGACTAGTTATTAATTCGTATGTATGTATGTATGTATATATATATATATATATATATATATATATATATATATTTATTTTTAAATCTCATTTTTATTAAGGATTTTTCATTACAAATTGCCCATATTACCACCAGATAAATACATTCTAAAACTCTAATAACTTACATACAATCGTACCTTCTATCTTCTTAGAATTTTCACTCCCCTGGAATTATATTGTTATTCATTATACATTATTGTTTCTTACTTATTCAGGGAAGAAATTTGATCTAAATATCTACTGGTAATGGGTGTAAACATAAAAATTACCAACATGGACAAAAACAAAAATATATATGTGACATATCAGCTGTCATGTCTATCACCTTTGTCCTTTATTAGGCTCTAAGTACTCTTGTTTTCTTCTAAGAACTTCTTCTAAGTCCTGTTTTCTTCTCTTGTGATTTTTGTCCTTGTAGTATGTCTGGGTTCCTCTAGAGGGTGTAGGTAACTTTGGTATTGCTTTGAATAAGTTGGTAAACAATAAATTCTTCGTAACCCACAATTTAATGCTGCTACCCGATCTACTGCATCATTTTGCAGAGATGTGCCACCGTCTTCCTTCTGGCCTGGTCCCATGCAACGAAATTCAATGAAAGTTTCTAGGTTGTAACCTTTTACCCGGGTCT